CTGGCCCTGTTCTTGTCTGGTGCAGCGGCGGTCAGTGCTAACCGGGTTCAACGGGTCGTATGCGTAATCAATTGTTGCAGCTGTGTCACGTTCTAGCAGAGATAGCTACCCCCAACAGCCACCATTTACTTAATCAAGTTTTGCACACATTTTCGGGTCAGTTGCCAGTTGGCAGCCAGCCGCCTTTGTGCTCGATATTCTATTGATTGCCAGCTAAGAGATCCAAAAAGTATAACCATAATAAACACAGATGCATTTCCATTGCTCGAGCCAAAAAAAAAAAAAAAACAAATAAAGGGAACAAAAGGTGGCCACAGAACAACAAGGGTCAATTACTTTCGGGAATCTCCGCGAAAGAATCAAAAGGCTATACCAGACACCTTTCATTCGCCAGACAATTGACCCAAACTGCCAATAAAACTGAGTAGCATGAAATGTAAATAAGAAGCATTCTCTCCTTCTGGCTAATAGCTCGATTATGACCGCGATGACGCTGCCAATTTGGGCCGCACACCGTCGAGGAGAATGTAATGAGAAAGCCATAAAATAAACAGTTGAATAATCGCCGATAATGAGAGCTGCCAGCGAGTTGTTCCCATCTTTCCCCGGGGCCATTTCATCTCAAAGATACACGAAATCGATTGGACAGCAATTCGGCAACAATAACATCCCGCGATACGTGTAAGCAGCCTCACAGTGGGGCCCAGAGAAAGAGGTGTGAGATCAAAGCGGTCGAGAGTTACCCGATCAGAGGGATAACATATAAGAGATATAACATAAACGTCTCTGAGGTGTGAACTTTCGCGTGGCCTCTGCTTTGATTGGAGAACTTAGAAGCTTGAAGAAAAACCACATGGCTGGCCAACTGGAATAATTTTGACAGTTTAAGGTTCTTTGTTGGTAAAAATATTTGCGTATCGAATTAAGTATTTTTAATTCTGATTATGAGAACCACTTAATTAGCCAATCGCCCGAGAGCACACTCCTTTGGCGATTTAGTGGAAAATTGCTTTTCTCCTTAAACAGAAATCACATTTAATTATTTCGCTTTCAAAGCCGTTTTGAGCAAGCCAAAAAATTAAATAAATTATGCAACAGCTGTCATTAATAAAGTCGAGCGCAAAAACAAACGAAAAGCAACAAAAAATCCAAAATATCCCCCAATGAATCAAGGCCAGCATAAGGCAGCATAAATGCATCGGCCGCAGCAGCAACAGCGGCAAATTGAAGTTGCGTTTTGTGTTGAAAATCCAGTTTTGTATTTGGTGAGCTGCACTTGTGCAAAAACACGAAAAAGCGGGCTCACGTTCAATGTGTTGGCTCTTGATTTCTTTTACATATCGAGCGAGCTGAAATTGATTTAATCAAGCCACACAAGTTTGCATTTCGTCGAGAGTTTTTGGGGAAATATAAATTCCCCGCCTGTCAAAATCAATTTTCAACAAGAAAATTAAACTCTGGCCATATCGGGCTTCAAATTTTCCATATTTCCCACACTCACAGCCACAGTACGTTCTTTTGGGGCGTGTCAGTGTCTGGGCTCTTGTAATTAATCGCTGCGAATGCAAGAATTTATGAGCTTTTCATGGGTTTTTGAAGCCTTCTGCGGAGTTATGCGGCCTGCCCACGGATCGGCATTGAGTTGCGTGGAAATCCGAAAAACACACTCACGTGTGACTATATGCCAACTGGCCATATATCAATTAAAGTCACAGTCACAACAGCGCCGTCTGACAATTAAATCCGCCAAATGCCGAAGCGATTGACTTGGCACTCGCTCGACTGTGAAAATTTGCATGGCTTTGCGAAAATTGCGATAAACCGCTTTGCCGATTATGTGATAAGCACTCTGATTGATCTGTCACAATACTCAGTCAATGTCGCCAAACTGAGTTATAATTCGTTAATTAAGACCTGTCCAAACGGCATGGAAATTGAACGAAATCGAATGAAATCGAGTAATAGTAAATGCAATGCAATTAATCGTTATATATAAAGAATTTTTTGAAGATTATATGTGCCTTTGAAATTTAAACTTTCCCAAGAAACCTCACTAGAATATGTTAGAACCAAATCAATTTATTGAAATCAATTTATTCATCCTCAGAAACTGGTATTTTTAGACCCATTTATGCATATTAAGTCCTGAGAAAGCAAAATCCTTTCACATGATATTGGTAACAGAAAAGCCTTCAGAAACACTTCAAAACGTCCCAGATATTGGCCCACTTTTATACAAGCAACCTACGAGTTTTTAGCTAAAAAATCCCTCTTTGCTTCTGATTTGTTTTGTTTTACTTTACCTTTTTCCATTTTCCTCACACCCAGTTAAGGGCGTAAATATTTGATTTTTCACATCCGTTTGCAGATTGTTTAAAGTTGTGGGTGAAAGTTTGCCTTGAGGATTAGTTACCAGGATAGTTTAAGATGCACGAAATGGTTTCTATATTTATAAGATATTTTTAAACGTTTTTTTCCCATGTTCACATACGCCTGTTCAGACTCTTTCAAATTCCCATAAAAGATACTAAATATTCGCGTGTATATAATCAATATTCACAGCAAATAACAAACATTCGGTGTTTACAATTAACGAAATCGAGGGGATCGAAGAGATTATTATTCATGAATGGAAATAGGCAGAGCCATAAAATCTTCACCGATTCGATTAGAGAGGCAATTGAAATCATCGTCATCGTCGTTTGTGGTATATTTTTACAGGGTATTCGCAGAGTACTAAGGAATATAGAGTTCGTGAATTTTGTGAAGCCTTTCTGACACCATAAATCTACTTGATTTATGTAGAATTTTAACTGATGAGTTTTAACTGTTAACATTTTCTTATAACTTAGAAAATTCACAGAAAACTAAAAATAACATCAAGAACTTAATGAGTTTTTGCATCTAAGGCTTTCGAACTTCCTTGATGAATTCAAGGAACACAAAACTCTATTTGTTCAAATTGTTTACCCTGAAAAATCATATGATTAACTCAGAATACTGTTATAAATTTGATAGATATATGTATATATATTTCATGTTTAATCGAATAATATCAATTCATGAAAATAGATAGGCGTGGTACCTCATATTCGACTTAGGGAAATTCATATTTTTTTCACTTCTTGCCTTATCCACGGGCCACATTTCCGAGGTGCCCAACTATCCGTTCGGTTGTTGCTGTTTTCGGTCGCTATTGGCGAGGTCAGTGGAACATAAACATGCCATAAATCATCCGGCAAAAGTGTGAGCGATGCCTTGATGGAGGTGGTGGCGGAGGAGGTGCTTCTGCCGGTGGCTCGAGCTGGGAAAATCTCTTTTATTTTTGGACATATTTTTGTCCTTCCTCATCGTCCCTCGACACATCATCGTGACATTTCGGGGGCGCGGAATGTGGAGTTAAGATTCATTTAGTTGGTTGCCATACTTATAAAAAAACGATTCGTCGACACTTCGTAGCCCATTGCACATCTAAAACTGTCAACAGCCTCATTAATTATGACTCGAGGATAGTGTTGAAAAATGGGTCTTGCCTCTCTGCCCGGCACATTTTGTGTCAAATTTGTCATTCATCAGCTTTGTGCAGAGAGTCCTGTCCTGGTCTTTTGTTTCTGACAGGAACACGGCTCGGCTCACTAACGGTCTATGGCCAGCTGCCGAGCCCAACTCTCTGCCCGGCTGATTAGGGCCTAGAGTTTATATAAATTGTTTGATGGGCTAATTTTCTGCACTATGAGTTTGGTTTGAGTTCAAAAACTATCTTTTGTGGCACATGATGACGGTAATGTGACAAAAAGTTTATGGCCGAGGACACATTGGGTTGTCAAGTTGATAAACAATGGCAAACTTTTTCGGCCTTTTGTTTACAGACTATACAGAAATTATTTCCATAACTGTGAAAATATAAATACTGTAACTATGGCTTCCTATTGTTATTATTGAAAATACAACAATTTTAAGTGTATGTTCTCTAGGGTTTAATATGGTGCTAAAGCGAGTTAGCTAATAAAAGAAAATACGGTGAAAGGTACAACAAATTACATGAAATCATTGTATTGAAAGACTTTATTTTAAATTACCATGCAAGATTTTTTTCTGTATATTTTTATAGTTCTTTAATTGCAGAAAGTACTTCCTATCATTTACAAATTCTTGTTTAGCTTCGATCATCATATCGTTTTTTGAAATTTAAGATACCCAGTTAACATCGATTTATTTACTATATCTCAGAGTTTTGGTATATATTATTTTAAGAAATCTTTTTGGATATTAAAAATCGTATTTGCATTACTACATTTTTTGGGCTTCTCCTTTCTAGCTTGAATTTAGTTTTTAAAATGAAATTCCTAGCTTCTTTTATGAAGAATTTTAGCCAAATGTAGGTTTAAATTATTTGCTATGAAAATTGTAAAATATTGTATAATATAGTAATTTATAATTCACAAAAAATATTTTATAAAAGTAAACTAAGAGGACCAGGGAAAAGGTCTATTTGAAATTGGAAGAATCAACTAAAAACGACCGATAAAAAATATGTATAATTTATTTTATATACATACATACATTTTCCGTATCAGTTATATTGAAATGTGTTCAAAATAAGAAAACAAAAATATTTGGATCAAAAAAGTTCCATGCAAATATGTATCTTCTCCTATAACGACATCATCCTTCTAACATCTTTCCCTGACACAGATTTGACCATCATTTCTCGAACACAGTGGAACCTCTGTGTCTGTTCCGTCTAAAAAAGCAACAATTAATGTGAGTTTCAATCGAGTAACGAGAAAACAAAACGAGTAGTGCAAAGTGAGTAACGAGTGAACAAAATAAACTCAAATCGCGGAGAGGCAGCGACGGCGGCCGGGAATCATGACCGAGGAACGAATCGCACACAAAACTGTCATCAAGTGACAAATGCTTGACAGCATCAATCAGCCACTGCGACGACAGCCACGGCGACAGCGACTGCGACTGCGACAGCGACCGAGGCGACGACGATGCGGCGTCGGCAGAGGCTTGCCTGCTGCTGGCGCCGGCGCTGGCTGCTCTGCTCGCTGCTGCTGCGACTGGTGCTGCTGCCAGCGGCGACGTCCGAAACCAAAGAAAGTGCAATCTTGGCCAAGCCAAAAGCGCTGTCCCAGCAGCATCCTCCTCCCCCCACGGTAAACACAACGTCCCCAGACAATGCGGGCGGAGCCAGCCCTGCAACGCCGGCGGGCATCAGGGAGAACGTCATGCTGCCCTCAGCCGATCCCGAGCGTGAGGCTCAGATCCTCTATGAGAAGTCCCTACAGGAGTACCACGGAAGTCAGCTGTCCGCCACCGTCGCCACTGACGTGGCCGGCGGAAAGCGCACACTGCACGCGCTCTGCGAGCGGTGGCAGCAGAAGCACTGCCAGTGTAGCGGCAGCCTGGAGAGCGTGCGACTCAGCTGCCGCGGCATCGGGATCCTGGCAGTGCCCGTCAACCTGCCCGGCGAGGTGATCGTCCTGTGAGTATAAGTATAGCCAGTAAATAATAACATGTTCAAATGAATTTCGTTATATGGGATCTTTAAAAAAGTTAGGTAAACGTTTATTTTTAAGCTACTTCTTAACTTCTAGCATGTAGGTTACGTTAGGTTAGTCCGGACGGACCTCTCGGGGCCAAGCATAGGCCAATATGGACCTCAGTTGTCCGGGAAATTTCTGGATGAACAGTCTAGCATATACATATGTATTTATACTTTTTATAATAACTAAAGGTAGATAATACAAAATTTGTCTTATCGCTTATTTTAAATTCGTTCGGCTTAAGCTATAAAACCTTTATTTGCTCACTTGACAAATAATAAAGTTTTTTTTAATGATTTCAGCTTTTGTTTGAATAATTTCCCTGATTAAAAATGATTCAGTTTATTTAAATTACAAGGGAGTTATATCTTAAGGGCCCATTCCGTTTGGTTTTATCAAAAAAATCGAAATTTTTATTGCACTTTTCGATAGCTAAAGTATGTCTAGGATAACATACTAAAAGGTCAAATCGAAATAAGTAATAGTTTTAAAAATTATGAGCCATCGAGCCGACAGACTCAAATGCGCTTTCTGGAAAACAACATTTTTCGAGCTGGCGACCGTCATATCTCAGTCAATTATTATTAATGTTTTTTTTTGTTAAATACACGTAATTAAGTTATCCATGGAAGGGCCTACAACTACATAGATAGCTTAAATTACATGTTTTCATCGACAAAAAAGTGAAGACAATTTTCAGTAAAAATGACACTAAATTTTTCAAACGTCGCCATTTTGCTATTTTTGATTCAATTTCGATTAAAGTAGTCTATTCCCTATCCACACTTATACAAAACAAGAACATTTTTAATTTATTTTGTTTCAGACGATTTTTACGACCTGTATAAGGGTCGTCAGAAGGGTTCCTTTTTCATGCAGTGTGTCCAGTTTCAGGAAATGCTTTAATTTTTTTGTAAGATTTTACATAATCATTTTTAAACTATTAGAAATATATGTGAAAAGATTGAATTATCCATGTTTTTTTCTACAAAAATGTGAAAAAAAATTTCCTAAGGATAGCCTATATTTTGACTTACATATACCCCTTAATAGAACTACAGCTTTTATGTCTAAGAGAAATCATTTATCTTAGATGTTAAGAGTGGAGAGCAACTTTGAAAACACAGCTTACCAGGCAATTCTTAAAGCTGGTAAAAATATAATTAAAGAAATGTAGGAAGGCACGTTCTTGTCTTTTCAGCGGTCGCAAACGAAGTGTTCTTTATTCATTCTTCCATTCTATGCTTAGCCTATTACATGTATGTATTGGTGTGTCCGTTGACGATCGTGCGAAAGGGACATACAGAGTAGTGTTCCTAAGCACGATCTTCATGTGAGAGCGAGATGTATCTATTGTGCTTATAACTATCGTATAATTCAGCCGTGTATGTACAATAGGTGTGTAAGTGTATAGGGTAGTGTGACTGTTTGCTACCTCGGTTAGTGTGGCTGCTTGCTACAGAAATTAAGTTGATAGAATAAAATATATACATATATTCATTCAACATTTGCCATTTTCTAGTAATATTTAATTGAAATGTGGTTCCATTTAGGTACTATCAGCCATCTAGGAAATCAACGCATTTTGTTATAATATAAAATTTATTAAAATAAAAGACAGCGGAAGTTACATACCTCAAAAATACCTATGTATTTATACTAATAATCGTGATTAATACAAGTCTAATTAAATCCCGAAATGCCTTATGATTTGTGTAATTCCTTAGCTTTAATATGTCTATATATTTTGGCCTAACATTAGCTCATATAAGGACTATGTTAAACTAGGACCCTTAAGATTCCATAAATCCCAATTACGAAGTGCCAACCATTGTCTCTTAATTCCACCGGTTAATAATTCCTAAACTTTCCTTATTGAGCGATTAAGCTCACTTAGATGGCGGGGCATTGGACCATTTTCCGCTGCTGGAATGCCTCAAATCGCATAATTACAACTCAATTTCGCAGTCTTCGCTCCGATTCGGATGCGGGCGATTTGGGCATGCGGTTTAATCTAATTACACATACGCCACGTTGTGCAGCGTTTCGCAATCACCGTCATCGTCGCCGTCGCCGTCACTGTCACAGCTCCAGCGCAGTGACTGCTCACGTATGTGAGTCACGTTTTCTTGCCGCCGACGGGCACTCGCAAAGGAGTTGGGAACCGCTTTTGGCTTAGCCAAAGTTTCGGCTGATTAATGGCCAACTCGAAAGGCCCAAACATAAATAAATAATTTATTAATTAACGCATCGCTCAGGGGCTCGAGTCATAAGCTATTAAGATCACTCTTGCAGCCTTCCAAGACGAATTCGGTGTCCCTGGCAAAAGTTTTCAATTGAGTAGCCGGTATTTTCCAAAATACTGGGGCCCTGCCAGGCAGTTCATCTTCATTTTTATGCAATTTTCCGCCGGTTGGCTCAATATGCTTTTATGCCATTTCCAAGTTGATTGATGGCCCACTGAGATTTACACATTCCCCCGCGCCCCACTGATATGTTTTGGCATCATCATTTAAGCCTCGTTTCATATTCATGGCAATGGCAAATGCCTTCTATTGATGGATGAATTGTTGGCATCCTGAACGGTTCAATAAAGTTATTAATTTGCTTATTGTTTTGTTTCTGTCATTCGTTTCAACAACAGAGATTTGGGAAACAACAACTTGACCAAGCTGGAGGCGAACTCATTCTTTATGGTGCCGAATCTGGAGGAGCTGTGAGTATATGGGATTGAAAAGCTAATATCGAATACGAGTACGGTCCACCATGTCAGTTTTGAGGTCTCTTTAATTAATAACAAGCTTACCAATCCAAAGTGCCCAGATAATCCCTTTCTACCCCCGAAACTACACTGCAGACCGAAAAAACTCGCAACTCCCTTGGGGTGTTTTAGAACCCGCAAACTTCACCATTTTAATCTGCGTCCGACTCGGACAACAAGAGTACAAAATATGACAGCACAGAAACTTTCGTCATTTTAACAGCCAAAGTTGGCTTCGACGGGCGGGCAACTCATTATTCAATTTCACAGCGAAGCCGCCCGCAAAAAATCACAGCGGTCAACGGACGACCCGACCCTGACCAGACCGCAGCCCCGGACCGCAGGTCCTTGGTAATATAAATTACTTGATTACGCTGTGTATTTCAGCGAGTTGGCACGATTAATTACTCCTGACTGTGCTATCCTTGCAATTTCCTGCACTTTGGCCGACGACACTCGACTCTAGCTTGGCTTTATGCCGGCCATCCGGCCATGCTTTAGGTATTATTGTTGACCAAGGGAAGGTTTATTTGCAGAACTTTGTCCGACAATAGCATCATTAATATGGATCCCAATGCATTCTACGGCCTGGCGAAATTGAAACGTTTGAGCCTGCAGAACTGTGGCCTCAAGTCCCTGCCGTCGCAGTCGTTCCAAGGACTCGCCCAGCTGACCAGCCTGTAAGTATGCACCGCCAAGTGTTTGAAAATAAATACAGCCCTCGGTGTGTTTGTGTTGATGTTTGCTTCTGAGCATTGCCGTTTAGCCGAGGATATCGCCGCGAAGACGGAGGAGTGGAGCAGGACCCTCGCAGTCGCAGCAGGATGAATTTGTTTGCTTCCACGCAAACCCACTGCCGTCCACAAACACATCTGCACTCGCTATTTTCCTATATTACTGGCCTCTTCCCCCTGCACCTCTCTAAGTTCTCTATTTTTTGCCCCTTTAATTTGGACACTGGGTAATGGCTTAAACGCAGCCAACTGAATGGCAACGCCCTGGTCAGCCTGGACGGGGACTGCCTTGGCCACCTGCAGAAACTGCGCACCTTGCGCCTGGAAGGCAACCTCTTCTACCGCATTCCCACCAACGCTCTGGCAGGACTCCGAACACTCGAAGCACTGTGAGCCCCTTGTTCCACCTCGAGATTTAAGAGTATTCATGGATCACCTTGCCCTGCATGCCCCTCGAAATCCATAACACCCAATTGGCGATTGCTTAGTGTTCTAATCCTAGCTGCTGCTGCCGCATTATACTATATGTTGTGTGTGATAACCATAGAATTAAGTGTGTTTTTGGTTAATTTGAGAACCAATCAAAACTCCTAGTTATTAAATTATCTAAGTATTCATGTGCCGAAAGAGTGAGGAGTACCACATGGAACCCTCTTTAATCTTATATATAATATGTTAGCTTTCATGAAACCCATTAAATCAAATTGCATGAATAACCGTCCGCGCTTAGTGACTGAGCGGTGAAACCCATATAAACAAACCATTGCCAATAACAATAATTTTATGTGCATGTTTTTCAAGTACATTGACCCCCTTAAACTTCCGACATCCCAAGTATATTTCCATTTTTAATCTATAAACCCACTCGAGCCACAAAAAAGCATTGAGTTAAATGAAAGTTGGGGAATCATAAAGTCTGGCGATTGCTCATAATTTCTGTCTTCTGCTCCCACTTTAACCATCGACAGCAATTTGGGCAGCAATTTGTTGACAATAATAAACGACGAGGACTTTCCACGAATGCCAAACTTGATCGTGCTGTAAGTAGTCGAGGTCTCCTAGCCACTGTACTCATGTGCCCAAGTTTAAGCATTTATCTTCTTTCCTTTCGCAGTTTGCTGAAGCGAAATCAAATCATGAAAATCTCCGCGGGCGCCCTCAAAAATTTAACTGCTTTAAAAGTTTTGTAAGTAACAACAACTACATGCGAGAACTTTGAATACTTTAAGCACTGCATCCCGGAAACACAAACGCCACATGAGCCGAAAAGACACGGCATACACCCACTGACACCGAGGCGCCTTCAAACTCCAATTGATATCAAATAGTAGAACGATACTTGTATTGTAGAGACAAAAGCCGATTGCCAAATTCTCTATTGGCATTTCCGTTTACATTAACCAGAAAATGCGGTATAAATAAGAGGCTAAGAATTATGATTTCCACATTAAGAAATCGTCACATCATAACAATTGATAGTCTATTTTTTGTATATTTTGTCAATGTTAGGTAACAATTAATTTTTAATATAGACTACTTGCGGAAAAAATAGGTACATGCGTATGAGGTTTGTTTCAAGTCCTATAAAATTTGTTTTATAAACTTAATGAAAAAATCTACTTTATTTTTAGTTTTCGTACTTATTCTAGATAATAAAAGTAGCTGTCAACAGGATTTTACAATTCAAATTTAGAGACAGGAATCAATTTTCTCCAAAAAGAATAATATGTACAGACATTTTTCTAAGCCTAGAACTCGGAACGTATTGAATATTTTTCACTTAATTGTTTTTATTAGGGAATTTAGATTAGTATCCAGTATACCCACCCTTATTAAAGGCAACTTTGGCTATTATTTTTTGGCATTCTAGCCATAAATTTGTGGAAAGCCCTTACTAGAAACTGAGACCAGGTTTCTTTACCAAATCTAGAAAATGAATATGTTAGTTCTAATTCGACGCTCCAAGTCTTCCCTTATATTTTCGATCGAGTTTAAGTTCGGTAACTGACTTATCTAACCCATAACGGTTACCTTGTTGTACCTAAACCAGGCCATAATGACTTTTGATCGTACATGAAGATATTGCTTACTTCCGGATTAGTAGAATATTTTTAATAATAATAAATATCTTTTAATAATGTCTCGCAAACTCATGATGAAAACATAAATACCCTGAACAGAATTTTTAAAAAGCGAAGAATACAAAAAAACCGATGCAACTTGAAGCCAGAGCAAGTGGCAAGTGGAAATGGTGTTTATCCGTTTTGCGGCCATGGCTCGAATAAATTTCAATTTCCCAGCAAAAGCGTGGAAAAGTTTTGGTTCACTTTTTTACACCGCCTTCGGTGAGTTGAGTTCAGCTCAGTAGGGTTCAGTTTGGGTTCAGTTCCGACAGCTTAAACTGTCGTCGCCAGCGTTGACGTTCTGCGCTGCTGTTTACCACAAATTTTTGGCTTTTGCGCTGCACGCCCTCCGCGTACCCATAAACCGCTCTGGCTTCCTTCTCGGCCACCCCAAATTCACCGCCCACCGCAGGGCAACAGACAAATATGCAAATTTATGTTGTGGCTGACAGAGTCCCATTCTCTGACTGAACGGGGCTAAGGAGGGCGACACACCAGGAATGCATCAGACGAAAGTGAAAGCTCTCGCCGTGCATCGCGTAAATCTAAACGTTTGCGAAGAATGGGTAAAATTTTCCGTGTGCATTCTTGCATTTGCCTCGAGATTTATGGATGCAATACCTCTAACCAGCAAAAGAGTGTTAGAGTGGGTCATAAATGGAAATGGCGGGGAAAATGATATGGAAAGTTGGTGGCCAGAGAGCATCTGTTGTTTGCCGTCACCACTTGGCCTATAAAACAGTTATCGAAGTTGCCAACAAAGGTGTTTAAAATAAAATGTAGTAAATACTATTCGTACTTTTAATCATAGGAGAAATTTAAGAATCTGTGATCTTGAAAAATAAGATATAACATAAATATACAAGATTTTATGTTTATTTTTAATAAGTTTTTGTAATAAGTCAATGTAACAAAGAGACCAGCTGTAGATGGAGGTTATCTCAACTAGTCTTAATCTATATTTTCCTCTTTTTTAGTAAAAGTTTAAAAGGTTAGTTAAGGTTAAAAATCCCTTTACACTCTACAGAAACTGGCTTTTCCTACAAATCCTTTTGTTTTTTAACGAACTAAAAAGCCTTGTTCATATTTTACTAAAATTCAACATTTTTACTTTATATATTTATAAATAATTGAAAGTTTTGTATAAAAACTCCCGCTAGCTTTATGTTCACGCATAAATTCAGATTCCAGGACCCTCGCAATTGGAAACGCAGGACTCACGCCTTGGTCTACGTGGCGTCACGTAGAAAAACTGACCCCAAACAAAGTCATGCAAATGGCTCTGATTTTTTGAGAAAAGAAAATGCGAGACCGAAATTTGCAACTCAATTTCTATAATCGAAATCAGGAAATATACATAGTTCAAACATCGCTTACTCTTTTTCCGTTGCAGGGAGCTGGATGATAATTTAATAAGCAGTCTGCCCGAGGGACTCGGCAAATTGTCGCAGCTGCAGGAGCTGTAAGTATATAAAATAAATACAAATTCAGGTGGTCGAGCACGATAAGCCCGAGCGGGGAGTGGGGACCTATTGAAACTGCAACTGATGTTGTTGATTTGCCGCAACATTTCCTACTTCGCCCCTGCCTGACGACTAGCAGGGGGATGCCAAAAATCATAACGCATCATTACTTGGCGAATTTATGGCCGCCACCCAGCACCGTTTCCTCCAATAACTTGCCGGCCGAGAATCGAGGACTGCAGTTGCATCTTGTTTTTGTCGCACGCTGGCTTCCTTGAGATGCGATGCCCCAGTGGCAAGACCACAGTCCGCGGCAACTGTCACAGCAATGCTGACATCGTTTGCGATGGCAAGAACTCCCCGAGGAAATTCAATTTCTGGTAAACAGGATAATTATGAGCATGTTAAATGTTGCGATAAAAGCCACGCTGTGCTGCATCTGCGGAGCCATTGCATCCATGATTGGGGTATTACGCTGGAGAGTGAATTTGTACGAGAGAAGGGGCAAAATCCGTCCGATTTCTTGCCATGTGTGTGGCACAAACAAAAAATTAAATTTAAAAGGATTAAGAACCCCCAGTAAGTGTCTGCGTTCTGTTGACTTCGCTTGGAAAAGAATGGCAGTCGATGCCACAAACTTGGCGAGATAAACAGAATGATATTGTTTGCGGAGAGGTTACTGTGAGAATTCAGTTACATTATCGTCTCTCTTGTTTTTAAACTGCTTGCAATCCAATCCTTGCCATAATTTACAACGAATTCAATTCTTAAATCAAAAGTAAATGGTAAAGTAAAACTGTTTGGTATTGATATTAGATTGCTTTTCCCCCCAAATGTGTGCCAAGAAAACCAAAAGACGTTAACAATATGAGCGCCCAAAAGTGTGCTCGTGTCACAGTTTATTTTTGGCTTTGTCGGCGTGTTTGTGGGACTTGACTTTTAAATGCAGCTGCATCCGAGTGCCACTTGCCAGCAGTGTGTATCCGAAAGATACTTTTCTTGGCATTGGGTAAACGTTTTTATTAAGCTTTCCCCACCTCTTTCCCACTATTCTCCCGCCAGTTCCATCACCAGCAATCGACTGCGCTGGATAAACGACACGGAGCTGCCGAGGAGCATGCAAATGCTGGACATGAGGGCCAATCCGCTGTCGACCATTTCCACCGGGGCCTTTCGAGGAATGACCAAGCTGCGGAAGCTGTGAGTATCACTTGGCTCTGTCCTGTTCAGCTATTCGCCACAGCTCAGTGGGTCAAAAGGGCTACTTCTGATATTAAAAGACTCTTTCCCCCAGGACTCTATCGGATGTGCGAACTCTGCGCTCGTTTCCAGAGCTCGAGGCCTGCCATGCCCTGGAAATACTCAAACTGGATCGCGCCGGCATTCAGGAGGTGCCAGCCAATCTATGCCGTCAAACACCAAGACTGAAGAGTTTGTACGTAGGAACAACCCTTTTGAAATTAGTACTTTGCAACATTGATTCCCTTCTTTTACGCACAGAGAACTTAAAACCAATTCCCTGAAACGCATCCCAAATTTAAGTAGCTGCAGAGACTTAAGGCTGTTGTGAGTATTGATGCACCCCCTTACTTTTTCAGACTAGAAATATATTTCAAACCTCTCCTCGCAGAGATCTATCCAGCAATCAAATTGAGACGATTCAGGGGAAGCCCTTCAGCGGTCTGAAGCAGTTGCACGACTTGTTGCTCTCGTACAACCGCATCAAGGCTTTGCCCCAAGACGCCTTCACCGGCATCCCCAAACTCCAGCTGCTGTGCGTTATTATCGAACGTGAAATACGAAAAAACAATTACAGTTTTTGTTACTTACAGAGACTTGGAGGGAAATGAGATCTCCTATATTCACAAGGAAGCCTTCGCTGGTTTCACAGCACTTGAGGATCTCAATTTGGGGAACAACGTGTTTCCCGAACTACCCGAATCGGGACTGAGGGCCCTGCTCCATCTGAAGACCTTCAACAACCCAAAGCTGAGGGAGTTTCCCCCACCAGACACCTTTCCACGCATCCAGACGCTGATCCTCTCGTATGCCTACCACTGCTGCGCCTTCCTGCCTCTGGTGGCGATGTCGGCTCAGCGGAAAACCTCCCAGGTCCAGGAAGCCGTACTCTTTCCCTCTGACGCCGAGTTCGATATGACGCTGTGGAACAACAGCATGATGAATATTTGGCCCCAGATGCGTGAGTACTCGGAACACTAAGGTATCCTCTTAATGCCGAGCACTATATTCCCTTGCAGATAATCTCAGCAAGCAGCTGGGAGCCACCATGCACGATCCTTGGGAGGCAGCAGCCAACTTCAACGAGGACCAGCTGCAGTCGCAGAGCGGAGGTCAGATCGCCACCAGCTTCATGGAGGAGTACTTCGAGGAGCACGACGTGAGCGGTCCGGCCACGGGCTATGGCTTCGGGACCGGCCTGTTCTCGGGCATGTCCGCCGAGGACTTCCAGCCGGGTTCGGTGCAGTGCCTGCCGATGCCGGGTCCCTTTCTTCCCTGCGCCGATCTCTTCGATTGGTGGACCTTGCGTTGCGGAGTATGGGTGGTCTTCCTGCTGGCCCTTCTGGGCAACGGCACCGTGGTGTTTGTGCTGTTATGTTCGCGCTCGAAGATGGACGTGCCGCGGTTTCTGGTCTGCAATCTGGCGGCCGCCGACTTCTTCATGGGCATTTACCTGGGCATCCTGGCCATTGTGGACGCGGCGACCCTGGGCGAGTTCCGCATGTTTGCCATTCCCTGGCAAATGTCGCTGTTGTGCCAGCTGTCCGGTTTTCTGGCAGTGCTTAGCTCGGAGTTGTCCGTGTACACGCTGGCGGTGATCACCTTGGAGCGCAACTACGCCATCACCCACGCTATTCACCTCAACAAGAGGCTCTCCCTGCGGCAGGCGGGGTACATCATGAGCGTGGGCTGGGTCTTCGCTCTGATCATGGCCTTGATGCCCCTGCTGGGAGTCTCCGACTACAGGAAGTTTGCCGTGTGCCTGCCCTTCGAGACGACCACGGGTCCAGCCAGCCTGACCTACGTGATCTCGCTGATGATCATCAACGGCTGCGCCTTTCTCACCCTGATGGGCTGCTACCTGAAGATGTACTGGGCTATCCGAGGCAGTCAGGCCTGGAACACGAACGACTCGCGGATAGCCAAGCGGATGGCCCTCCTGGTCTTCACCGACTTCCTCTGCTGGTCGCCGATAGCCTTCTTCTCCATCACGGCCATCTTTGGACTGCAGCTCATTTCCCTGGAGCAGGCCAAGATCTTCACTGTGTTCGTGCTGCCCCTGAACAGCTGCTGCAACCCCTTCCTCTACGCCATCATGACCAAGCAGTTCAAGAAGGACTGCGTGACTCTGTGCAAGCACTTCGAGGAGTCCCGGGTGGTGGGAGGAGGCGGAGGAGGACATGGGCAGGGGGGAGCCCGGGGGGCGGTGGCGCGCACCAAGAGGGGTGAGCTGCCGCCGCCGCTGCTGCCCGCTGCGGCCGTCGCCCATCCGCCGGGCTGCCGCTGCCTGAGGATGCTGCCCAGCGAGATGCCCAACTGGCACAAGATGGAGCAGACGCCCAGTCTGTGGCAGCGCCTGCGGGCCTTCTGCTGTGGCGACCGTCGGCGACGCCGCAAGCAGCGACGCCAGCCGCAGCCGCGCCGCCAACGGGCCTACACCGCCGCGGCGGCCAATCCATACCAGTACCAGTTCGCCGAGCTACGCCAGCAGCGCCAAAACCGAGCCAGCTCCATCTCCAGCGAGAACTTCTGCAGCTCGCGCTCCTCCAGCTGGCGACACGGGCCGCCCTCCTCGGCCCCCGTGCCGCCTGGCAACTGCAGCATGCCGCTGAAGATGCTGGAGCCGCACGGCTACCCTCACGGCGGCGGGCACGGCCGGAGGCGGCACTCCGCCTGGCTGATAACCCGCAAGACGTCGCAGGACTCGAACCTGTCCAGCTCGAGGAATGATTCCTCGGCCTCGGCCACCACCGCCAGCACCTCGACCTTCCGTCTCTCCCGCTCGAGTGCTGGCAGCAGCACGCCCCTGCCATCCATCATAGGTGAGTACAATGGCTCCTGATTGCTTTCCTATAACAGTAAGATGCGATTTTTAAAGCCCACAACGGGAAGGCCCAACTGGATGCGGCCAAGCCGAGACTAGTGCGCCAGGAGGCTGTCCAGGAGGAGGAGGACTCCTCGCCTCCCCGGCTGGGAGTGCGATTCTTGCCCACCATTCCCTCGGCAGCGGACAGCTCGGTGATTATGGAGGACGGCGACTCTGCCAACGCTGGAGCGCCCAGTTTCCTGGGCATGCCACTGCCAGGAGCCGCCAGCGGCTTCCTCATTGCACCGTCATCGCCAACACCAACACTTTCACCGCCACCCCCAGTGGTGCTGCAGCCGGCGAAGCCTCCGCCCGATCCCAATGACGCCCCGCCATGATGGTGGGACTACGGCTGGCGGGGCATGCGCAGAGCCAACAGGGAGACCTTTCTCTAGGGTAGCGGGAGCAGGAGAAAAGCTGACTGTGTTCGTAGATTGTATGCGGGCGGGAGAATATGACACCTAGGCTAGTAAGACACCAAGTATGCAGAGTCCCATTAGGAGTCTGCGATATATATATGTATATGTAGTGTTAAGTAGTCAATTTGTTAAGTTAGAGCAGGACCCAGTCAACCATTAGATGTCTCACGAAACCCAACAGGGCGACACAGCTTTAAGGAGACCAGTCCGCAGTCCCATTGAATTTTCATTCAGGATTAATACGAAAAAATTATTTTCAGAATATATGGTTTATTCTTTAATGATGTAGAATTTGTTTTTCTCATTTACAAAATTACAAGAAATAGTTACATGGGAAGTTGACACAAAGTATTATGCATAACTTATTAAATTAGATTGCATTCTTAGCTTTTAACCGTAAATGTTAGGCGTAAATATATAGATTAATTTATAGATGCGTGTATTATGTTCGATGATGCCAAGCATTCATCGGTGTATACCTTGAGTGAAACGAGACGATTACATGCAAAACCTGGCCATAAACATTCGAATTAAATAACATTCACATACATCAGACTGTCTTTTGATTGCGAAAGCCATGGACTGTCCTAAAGATTTCTCAGCTTGGTTACAGAAATAAGAAAGAAAAACTCTTCAATTATGAATTTGAGCTGCCAAAGAGTACTAAATATTTCACTTTTTAGAGTTTTCAGGGTTCTAATATCAAATTTTATAGAAATTGAAGCTGAGGTGGAGAACAGTCTGTGGCTCCTGAGATTGCGGAATTAGTCCCCCAGACCTATGGCCTGCTCGCTGGCCGCCTCCTCGCTGTTGGCCAGCACAACTCCGTAGGAGGGGTTCTCGATAAGGTGGGTCCTCTGCTTGTCGCCTTCGCGCCGCCGACGCTGCAGCTCTCGGATGACCAGCAGGGGCGTCATTACCAGGGCCAGGCAGAGGAGGATGGCCAGCACGAACATGGTCCAGTGGAAGGCCAGGTGTCCAGGCTGGGATGAGCTGACACCGGAAATAATTCCCTCGCACGTGTCCGGGGCTGTGCACTCCCAGCCAAAGCGACAGCCCTTGGAGCAGACCGGCTCGCATTCGCTGCTGCTGCCGGGCATCATCTGGTAGCCGGGCAGGCAGACGCACTTTTCGGGCGCCAGGCACTCGGCATTCACGCACTGCGTCGAGCACTGCGGGCTGCAGAAGTTCGGCTCGCTGGCATTGAGCACTACGTGGCCGGGATTGCAGTCACAGTGCCCGGGAGCTGAGCATACTCCGTTCTCGCACCTGGGCCGGCAGGTGGGAACACACTGGTACGACACCTTAGTGTCCTCGAAGCCCGTCAGGCAGGCGCAGGTGTTGGGCTCCACGCAGGTGCCGTTGATGCAGCTGGGCGAACACACCGGGTCGCAGATGGAACTAGAGCCCGTTCGAAGCTTGTAACCTTCATAGCAGCGGCACTGACCCGCTCCTACGCAGTGGCTGTTCACGCACTTTTGCGGACAATGCGGCTCGCAGGAACCGCGCGGCCAGCGCTTCGCGTAGCCCTCGTCGCACTGGCAGACCTCCGGGGCAATGCAGCGGCCGTGTCCACAGTCCTGGCTACAGATCGGCTCGCAGACACTCGATCCCAGGGTGGCACTGGGTCGATAGCCGGAGAAGCACCGGCACTCGTTGGGCGACACACAGCTGCCGTGCAGGCAGGGCTTTGAGCAGATTGGAATGCAGTAGAAATAGAGCAGCGGCTGGTCGGAATGGATAAATGATAAACCAAGAAAGGTTAGTTACACATAAATTTAATTCTTGATATCTAAAAGAAATAAAATTGTCAGCCTTGGGATTATTTAAGTGTTTGCAAATGTGCAGATGAGTTCATTTTATTACAAGAACTTCTTACCGTGTAACCCTCCAGGCAGGTGCACGTCTGAGGACTGCTGCAGATCCCGTTTCGGCAGCCCCTCTGGCATTGGGGCTCGCACTCAAGAGAGCTTGAGTTGACAAAGTCATAGCCCGGATCGCAGCTGCAGGTGTTGGGATCGATGCATTGGGAGTTGGGCCTGCATTCCGGCTGACAGGTGGGCGTGCACCGATGCGGCGAGGTCTTTACAAAGCCCCCGTGGCACTCGCACTGACCGGGAGAGCTGCAGAAGCCGTTCTCACAGCCGGACTTGCAGGTGGGCACGCACACATTGCGGGAGCCGTCGGCGTAGACATAACCCTCGGAGCAGGCACATTGCCCGGGTGAGATGCAGGTGCCATTCACGCAAGCCGGCTCACACACCGGCTGGCAGCCTGAGGTAAGTTTACCGTCCGTGTGGTTGTAGCCGATCTTGCAGTAGCATTCCTCGGGCTCCAGGCAGGCGCCGTTGGCGCAGCCGCTGGAGCAGATCGGATCGCATCTCCAGGGCTGGCCCAGCCGTGGCGCATGGCCGGCGCGGCACTTGCACTCGTTCGGCGCCACACAGTCGCCGCGGAAGCAGGCGTCCTGGCAGACCGGCACGCACTTCTTCAGCTTTTCGTCCCGCTGGTAGCCGACGTTGCACACGCACTTTCCACCCTCCGCGCAGTGGCCGTGGGCGCAGTTCTCCGAGCAGACCGGCTCGCATACTGTCCTGGAACCGTTGACAAACTTGTAGCCGGAGACACACTGGCACTCGTCCGGGGCCACGCAGCTGCCGTTCACGCAGGACTCGCTGCACTCCGGCTCGCAGTGGCTTCGATTCCGTCGATTAGAGTAGCCCTTGCGGCACAGGCACTCATTGGGCGCCAGGCAGATTCCATCACCGCAATCCTTGCACTGGGGCGCGCATTCACTACGGTGGAAGGACACACTGTCACATAATTTGCCAACATGAAATTATTTGTAAGGATACTAACTCGGCTTCATTTCGCTTGTAGCCATCGCAGCAAACTTCTTCGGACGACATATAAGTCTGGGGGAAAAGAAGTAGGTGAAATAACATAATTTCTTTAAAGCAAAACAATAAGATATTCAAATGATTCTTCTTAATATATTTTAGAATTGTGGTTATCATTTTAAAAGAAGTGTATTACTTGGGAAAATAGTTTTTTATACTCGCAAAAATTATATTTGTTCGCTTTGAATACTAACTATTTCATTGAAGGGATTGGTAATTTTGTTTCTGTAATCAATTTTTTATTAATTGTAAATAATAATATTTTTTAAGCAATAAAACCCATAAAAAGATCAAAACACAAACTGTCCAAAGAGAGCCATACTACTTGTTTGGTTATTGTCGTATAATATTTAAATGTTTATCAATAGCTCTCAAAAAAAGGAAAGCAAAAAGAATAAAATTAAAAAAAGTAGAACTTTTTTTTTCGATTTAAAATTGGTTTCAAGCAAAAAAGGATTGATTACTGTACACTTTTTCTTTTAGAATCCAGAATCTGGTTTCCACAAAACATTTTGTAAAGGATAATTTAATTCTTCACAGCAAAACAATTTTATTTCAATTTAATTTTATGGTGGAAATTTTTGAGGTATCTGAATTAATGTTGAAAGATAATTGGAAATCGTAAAAAATGCTTTTAATATATTTAATAAATATTTCACTTCTCAGAGCTGAATGGAAATTGGCTCCAAATAATTTCAAGATTAAGATTCACTTTACTTACTTCGGTTCGAGTTCTGCCCACCAAGGACCCGCAATTCCCAGTGCAGTTGGCCATATTCTGATTCTTTCGCATTGTCACCAGCGTACCGCGCATTTTCACCATTCTTGAGTTTCGCAGGGGTTTTGCTTGGTTAACAAAAATCTTTTGAAAATACCCAGATAAAGTACTCACGGGACTCGTTCGACACAGGCCTGGACCTGCAGTCCTGCACACACTAAGAATACCACTAGGAGAGACCACATATTCCTTTCCGATCCTGGGAATAACTCTTGAATGATGACTGGGTCGACTGCTCACTTGGAAACACACTTGGCAAATGATCAAGCGATCGGCCTCCAATGGATCCGATGAACGAGCAACGCGGACTTGCACGCTTATCGTTCTGTGTATTCCTCCGCCTATCGCCTTTTATGTGGGACAGATACCCATGTGGAATATGTGTTTAATGAACCCAAAGACAGGGAGAACATTAGCCCCAGAGATTGCGATTCGAGTCCAAGTGCAGTCCACGCAAGTTGAGATCCTTAACATTGAATTGCAAGTAAATCATCGTCGTGCGATTCTGGCTATTGTTATCTGTTAAATACGATTGATTACTTTGTTGAACAATTACACAGTTGTATTTTTATTCTATTTTCTGAATCTCTTGGATGCATATGTATTTTCCGCGCCAAAAAGTACTTTATAATATATTTCACAACTTAATGGAATAGGGAATGAAAAGTTTCTACTATCCATTCGGAATTTAATCGATCCGAAGTTTATAGGTCCAACTAAGCCAATTGTTAAGCAAATTTTTAAAAAGGCTGGCACCACAAAAAATGACTAATCAAACAGCCTCACACAGTTTTATTCAACGCTCTGCACTGTGGGTTATGGCAGCCCAAAAGTGAGGCTTAAAAAGGAAATCAAATTGTGCGCTTGATACATTTGAATATGGTTGTCTGATGTCTGATCAATAAATCATTCATTTTATTAAAACATAATTATTATATGCTATGTAGAAATACACCACTTTTATATATTTTCTTTTATTTTTTTAATGATTTGACCAGAATGAATCGATTCCTAACGATACAATTACAAACTGCAAGAGTATACAAGCTAACTTTTCTTGTTTAAGATATAAAATAGTTGATATCAGCATTAATAATAATATTGACTAAAAAGGAAGCTAAATTTTCCTGTAAGATGATCGTCGAAGTAGGGTCATGCTGATCAAGGATTGAAAGAGAACTACAAAATATTATGTTTTTGTTTTTGCGAATTAATGTCGCTAGAACCATTTTCCGTCAGAATAAAAATAAAACAAAAATTAGCAGCCCCAAAAGCTTCGAATTTGAAAACAATAATTTCGCACTTTCACCCCAATATCATCTGAACGATCAATGTAACAAACCTTACTTTTAAATGAAGTCTAGAGTTCCTGCATTTTTTCGTAGTGTATTTCCTCAACGGAGAAATTAGTATAATTTAAAAGTTGATATTACATTGATAGGGACACAAAAGCTTTGCTCATTAATACATGCACAAATATTTCCTTGATAAGCATTTAGTCATGCACTCACTGCCTTTGAACAAATTGAATTATCTGTAACTCGAACAAGAAACAAATTTCTGTGGGATCAAGGCCACCCAAAAAGACTTTTCAATACGCAATACGCAATTTGTGGTGTACCAGGAAAGACAAGTGTTTAAGTAAACTATAGATCTCACAACTGGAGCTCTTTCAAGGTTAATTTTTTATTTCCAAGCCATAGGAATATTTTTATGTTTTCAAGGTCCTCCAGTTTCTAGGAAGTGTAGGTGAAATTTGAAACCAGGATATTCAAATCGCTTCCAAAGACGAAAGCTTTAATATTCGCAAGCACGAAAGTCTAGTTTATCTCAAGCTCAACGGATGCAGTCTACAGGGAGCCACTACAATGGGAATGTTCCAGACTGAGAGCTCAGTTGAATTCGGAACGTTGAGCGGAACTCTTAAAGATAGCTGAAGTGGAATCATACTTATTTTTCGCAGAAATATCCCCAATATGTCCCAGTTTTTCCATCTGGTGCTTGGCCTCACCCTGCTGGTAGTTGCACACTTCGAAGGGGTTCTGACTTATAGACAAAACGTTTGCTCCCGCAATGCCTATGTAACTTACACTCATTCGGTCTACAAGAGCAAAAGGGTGCCTTACCAGCACCATTCCTTTTGGGGTGGCTGGCAGACTAGATATCGCACTCAGTATGGATGGGAAAATGAGGTAAGCGGAACTACTCAATAAGCTTTAGGTTTAGAGTTCAGATATTTTAATAAATGTAATAATAATGATTGCCGTGGAGTGACATTATATGACTAATAAATCGAGTCTTATACTGGATTAAATGTAATTCCCCTTTACCAAGATTTCTTTGTTTGGAGATCCAGGAAACCCTTTGTTATAGTTTCCCCTTTGTTGCAAAGATTGTTCCAGAAATGTTCATTCGTTAGTGTTTTTCAATTTTATATGCTCCGTTATGTCAATTATCGCAAATATCCAGATGTGCCAAATATTTAAATGCAACATTTTTTCATATAATTTAATATATTTCGCTAAGTACTTAGTCTGTGAAACACAAACTAGATATTTATAATTGGCCCGCTTTCCCCCAGGTGGACTACAAATGGGACACCAATTACTTCTGCTGTCAAGGTTACACAGGATCCGTCGATAACTGCAAGCCAGTATGCTCAAAAGACTGTCCTGTGAATGGCTTCTGCGCAGCCCCAAATCAGTGCCAATGCAACGAGGGCTACGCTGGAGCCGATTGCCACCCCCTGTGCCCCGGGGGTTGCGGCAAGAACGAGGTGTGCGACAGACCCAGTCAGTGCATTTGCCAGAAGGGCTACGAGCGGAAAGCCCTCGGTGACAGCTGCCTTCCCGTGTGCGCCGAAGGATGCGGGAACAACAGTTTCTGCGCGGAGCCAGCCATGTGCGAGTGCCTGCCCGGCTACGCCATGTCGAAGGAAAGCTCCGCCTGCCTACCAGTCTGCGAGGGTTGCGGCAAGAACGAAGTGTGCGACAGACCCAATCAGTGCATCTGCCAGAAGGGCTACGAGCGGAAAGCCCCAGGTGACAGCTGCCTTCCTGTATGCGCCGAAGGATGCGGGAACAACAGTTTCTGCGCGGGGCCAGCCATGTGCGAGTGCCTGCCCGGCTACGTCATGTCGAAGGAAAGCTCCGACTGCCAGCCAGTCTGCGAGCCTGCGTGTGGGCCAAACACCCGCTGCCAGGAACCGAACGTTTGCGCCTGCTTAGAAGGATACCAGAAGGATGGCCAGGATCAGTGCGCGCCCTTCTGCGAGCAGGAGTGTGGCAACCACAGTCGGTGCGTGAGGCCAGGAGTGTGCGAATGCGAGACCGGGTATTCCGCCGGGAGTTCTGGCTGCCAACCCGTTTGCTCCAGCTGCCCGGAGCATGGATCCTGCTTCCGGCCGGATGTATGTATTTGCAATCCCGGCTACGTCATGAAGGGTGATCGCTGCGACCCGCATTGCGCGGAGGAGTGTCAGGACTATGCCCGCTGCGTGGCGCCCAACGTGTGCGAGTGCTATCCGGGTTACGAGTCCACCGGTGACACCGGCAAGTGCCAGCCCAAGTGCAGTAAGGGCTGCCCCAACGGCTTCTGCTTCTCGCCCGAAAAGTGCGTCTGTCTAATCGGCCACTTGATGGGTCCCGATGAAACCTGCGAGCCGCAGTGCAGCCTTCGCTGTATTAACGGCAGGTGCACTGAACCGGAGACCTGCTCCTGCGATCCGGGCTATCGATTCAAGAACGGCTCCCAGCATGAGTGCGAGGCGATCTGCGAAGGAGGCTGCATCAACGGGGATTGCGTGGCGCCGGACGTTTGCCTCTGCCACCAGGGCTACCAGCCGGAGGACAACAGCTCTGTTCCCTCCGTATGCCATCCCGTCTGCCAGGCAACCTGTGTGAACGGCACCTGCTCCGCTCCGGATGAGTGCAGCTGCCTGGCCGGGCACGTCAAGTCCTCGGCCACCACCTGCCAGCCTCACTGTTCCGGGGACTGCGGCTTCGGGGATTGTGTGGCCCCGGAGGAGTGCCGGTGCTGGCCGGGATACGAGCGCACAGCCGAGGGCTGTCAGCTGCAGACCACAAGTACCTCCGAGACAACAGAGTCCGAGACAGTTAGCGACACCACAGACGCCACGATACTGGCCGATACAACCAGTTCCAAGTCATCCGCTGACCTTCTACAACTCCCCCACTGGAACTGCACCGGCGGCTGCCTGTGCTGGGTGGAGTACGACGAGGAGGGAACGCTGAATACCGCCAAGTGCGCCAAGGTGTGTGTGGATGACCAGAACAAACCTTGCCTTAATATGGCCCACTGTCGCTGTGACCTGGCGAGTGGCCAGCTAGCTTGCACTGATGACGGCGACGAGGAGTACAGCTCCGAGGAGGTCCGCTATGTCTGCAAGGTGCCGAAACCCAAGGACACGAGGGCGGAGGCCATGGCCGAAGGCAGAGACCTTGTAAAGACCACCACTTCGGCACCCAAATGGCTGATCCTAATGGGCTGGTGTGCAGGTATAATCGTCATAGCGGCCATTGCAGTCGCAGGCACAAAAATGTATCGAAAATCCACTTCCAGACGTAATGATGAAGGCACAGAGGGGATTTACGAAAACACTCTCTAATATTCGGTTCAAAATTTATTTTTAGTTTAAGCTTTTAGGCTTCAAATGTTTTTAATATTTAACCGTTCAATGCAAAACTGTCTCCATTCCATGTTTAACAAATTTCAAATAAAACAAAAATGAGTGAGATACTAAGTATACAATATATTGTAATCTTTGTTATATTTACAAGATATGTAATGTTCAAAATAAAATTTAAATTATTTTAAAGGGACTAAAAAAAAATATTAAGGACATCTTTTAAGCTTCTCGACCTTTCATTTAGCTCTACTACTTTGATTTATACAAGCTCTTTAGTGTAAATCATTCCATTTTCTCTCATTCGGTCGATATTAAGCGACCTCGGAGTCGCTGAATGAGTTTAAATATCATAAAAGCTGTTTGTAGGGGAACAGCTGATTTCAGTTGCCGATATTTTCAGTAATTCAATCCGCATAATTTGCATAAATAAATTATGACTTTGCCAGGTTTTATATCGATTTTAATTTTATGTAAACCGGGGCACTATTTGATTTTGCTGTTATAGGAACAATCGGTAATTGTAATTATTATTTTAATTTGATTGAAAATAAGTAATTATTTGTATTTAATGGACATTCATTTTGCAGAAAGTTAAACGAATCACTTATATTTTTTTTACAGCAGAGAATATTACAATGCTATGTATGTATCAGAGAGGGCTTTGATAGTCTTAAGATTTAATAAAATTTGAATTTAAATAGCACATACAAAATTTAGCCTCAGATATTTTTACAATCGTAAAACAAAGAAAGTTGTGTACTTCTTTGGCATACTCCTACCCTCGCAGGGTATTATAATTTTAGTCAGAAGTTTGCAATACAATGAAGAGTCTTTTGCGGCACTATAAAGGATTAGATGTGACTTCAGTCATGTCAGTCTTTCAGGTTATACGGAAAATGGGATCCCAGTTCTACAGCTATTTAAGTAAATCATTTTAGATAGTTTGTTTTTCAATTGCAGGTAGAATGGTACATAAGGCAGATTGAGATTAAACGAACATCAGAATAAATGTTGTATTTTTATATATACGACAACATTTGTTCACCTTTTGTTTTGCTTCTTAAACCGAAATCGATCGAATGATCCAATTGCTAACTGCAAGGGTATAGAAACTTCGCTTCGCGAAAGCTTGCCTAATTTTCTTAATGTGAGTCATCATTAGAGTAGCTTTGTATGTTGCGAAAGTAGAATTCTCATTTGTAAATATATTTCCGAAAGTGCGATTAGCGAACTTGGACACATACATACATATGATGTTCGTTTTACATTAATATGTATATGTAGCACCAAACGGATGTGACTTAATTTTTTTGTGAAAAAAAAGTCTGTTATCAACTGGATAAAAAATAGCGCAATTCTTAATGCCAAAAAAATGACCCTACAAAGTGCTTTGGCTCAGTTGAGTTTTTGTGCAGAGCTGTGCGGTTTATTCCAATTAAAATTATAAGTATGAATCGAGAGAAATTGCTAATTGTTTTCGCGGCTCTATTTGCTATTGGATTTAACTATACAGAAGCATTAGCTCGACATGTCTGCCAACAAAACGTAAAAGTTCCTTACATTCGAAAAGTTAACAAAACCGAGCAAATCCCTGGAGGGGTCACTTCAGTTGTGGAAGAGGTACAAATTATATAAAAACAAGAAAGGAAGCTAACTTCGGCACGCCGAAGTTTGTATACCCTTGCAGATTGGTTTCGATGTTTATATTATAGATTTAAATGCTGAAAACATTCACAAAACAGAGTTTCATTACATTTTACCTATACTTATTATGTTTACAGTTTGACAGTTACAGTTTTACATTCCCAGTTTTACATTTTCTCTACATCTACCGACCGGTTTATATGGCAGCTATATGATATAGTTGTTCGATTTTTATGAAATTTATACCATAATTCTAGAATAATAAAATAAGCTTATATCTCAGAGTAGATAAACATACGTTGAAAAACAACGAAACTATAATTTTTTTTCTTTTTTATTTCTCGACCGTTCCTATGGCAGCTATATCATATAGTCGTCCGATTTTCATAAAATTTTTACCAAAATTCTGAAATAATATAAAATGGCCATATCTAAAAAATGGTGCACAAATGTTGAAAAACAGCAAAGTTATAAGTTTTTTTCTACAAATATATCGAACATTTGTATGGCAGCTATATGATATAGTAGTCCGATCTGGCCCGTTCCGACATATATAGCAGTGAGAGCATAAAGAAGACTATATGCAAAGTTTCATTCAGATAGCTTTAAAACTGAGGGACTAGTTTGCGTAGAAACGGACAGACGGACGGACAGACGGACGGACAGACGGACATGGCTAGATCGACTCGGCTGTTGATGCTGATCAAGAATATATATACTTTATAGGGTCGGAAACGTCTCCTTCACTGCGTTGCAAACTTCTGACTGAAATTATAATACCCTGCAAGGGTATAATGACTAATTAGAAAGAGTAATATTCCTATATTCATAGAGTATACTACGAGCTTAATGTGTGTAATCTGTATTCTCAATATAGGAAGCATATAAATTTGAAATACAATCGGTATGTTGCCCAGGCTACGTGGGGTCTCCTGAAAACTGTCAGCGAGCATCAACCACATCTAAGGACATTACATCCACGTCTAGCGTTTCACCCTCAACCGTTAATTATGTGGCTTCTGATGGCGACTCTGAATCATCCAAGAAGCTAACCGAAACACCCAGCGATAATACCGAAACATCAGAGATTTCAGTGGCTGCCCAAGGCGATAACACAAATGCAGTTACAGATGAAACTACCGCCTTTCCTAATACAACTGCACAGATCGAGACAATAGCTACCAAGGAAGACTGGTCATCATTTGCTTTTTGGTTTTTCTGCATTGTGGTTCTTGTGGCATTCGTGGCTGTGCTTGTAAAGGTTTTGGTACACCGCAACGATCGGCGGGCCTATGTTGTCAATAAAAAGTGTACAGCATTTGAGTCAAATTGCTAAAAATCTAGTATTAGTATTCCAATTTTGAAATTGTTAATGGTTGGAAATACACATAAAAACTTGTAAGTGTTCTTTTTTTCAACTTATATTGTTTCAAAACGGAATATAAATTAGTATCTATGCCTGTTTATTCAACATGTAATTTCACATATTACAATTATTATACATAATAAAATATATCGATATTAAAACTTGAATATGAATACTTAAAGACGACATTGCACTATTTCTTGCAGAATGTTCTTCTTAATATTAATGAGATGATAAATTGAAATAGTTAATTAACTCTCAATAATACGTTATAATCAAGAAGAAATGCTACAATTGAGTGGTTTCGACTGTGAGATAATTATTTAAAAAAATGTACTTAAACAAGGCGGAATGTAGAAGAAAGCGTTAATAAATACAAACAAATGTGGATAGAAAATTATTAGCTACACTCATTTTTGCTGTCACCACAAATGTATTTCAAAAGTTAAACATAAACACAAATTTTGTAGGCTAGTAACTTGTGTTTTTATTATAAGATTTCACTTTGGAAAATGTAAAAACAAAAAGTATTGATTTGTGTATAAATATTGTTATATTGAATGGAATGTTAAGGAGCAGCAAAAGTTGTTTAATATACAAATTTAAAAAGTGGTTTCAATTTGATATGTTTATATTTCATTTGTCTCTCTTTCTCTTTCGAATAACTTTAAATAAATTCCTTTAAAATGTTCTTTTGATTTTATAACGCGTTCTCAAAAATGTAAGCTTATTTAGTTTAATGCAGCTTTACTTACAAAGTCCCCCAGATTTTCTATTTTGTTTCCGTATTACAACGTCATTGTCATTAGCTTATCGAGAGCTTCGGTCTCTTTTTCCCTCTTACACTCGATTTTTAAGGTATATTCTCAAAGAAAATCTATCATATTTTCCAAATTCTGGTAATTGTATTCTCGACTTTATTAAAATAAGTTTTGGTAAAACCCGATTTCGAGACAGAAATTACAACACTTTCGACATTCTTTAACAAATTTCTATAAGTTGGATATTATAATATAACGAAACAACATAACATATTTAAATAAGGTGAATGAATCTCAAGGTAAAGGGTAACCACGTCTAAAGGGAAAATGCCGCTCAATTAGTGAAATTTACAAAGTCGATATCCATGCGGGGCTTTTGCCGACTTTGTTAGTTTATTGTTACTTAAAACAACCTTAATAATAACGATAACGGGTTTATTCTAATATTGCCTGCACTTTTGTTATCGCCCCTAAGTCCGGATGTTGTCAATGACATGAACTTTAATTTCAATAAAAAAGTTTAAATTAAAGCAAAACAAGTAAACCTTGTGATCAAGTACTTAGTAGATAAAAGCCAAGCAAATAATAATTCATATTAAAATGTTCGTTTTTATAAACTTGGATACTGTTTTTAGTTCTGAAAAGTTTTTTTCATTCATTAGAGTTATGAATTCTATAAATTAAAATTAAAATTATCTTAAACTTGGATTAAATGCTGGTGCAACCTATTTTTACGATTAAAATTATCCACGAATACTCCAACAAAGTCAGAAGACCCGCAAAATAAGTGAGTAATCCTTCTAGACTGGAACACACATGGTGGACTCCTCGTGGTAGCTAAATCCCGGATCGCAGATGCATCGGTTACGGCTTACACACACGCCGTTGTTGCATTTTCTGTGAAAGTGAAAGGATAGTAAAGGTTAATATTGCAAATTGTGCCTATAATTCAAGAAAAAACTCACTGATAGCAGTCAGCCTGGCAGACGCCATCCTTGCGCTTGTAGCCCGGTGCACAGTCGCACTGGTTGTCCTCCTGGCAGAGGCCACCCACTCCGCAGTCCGGCTCGCAGACTGGCTGGCAACCGACGTCCGTTAGCTGGTAGCCTTTGGCGCAGCCGCAGACCTCCGGCTCGGTGCAGTTGTGCCGCGGACTGTTGCCACAGCCGCTGCTGCAGATGGGCCGGCAGAAGCGTCGCGTCTCGTCCAGCTTGTAGCCCGCATCGCACTGGCAGCTGCCGTCAAGGTAGCAGACGCCGTTCTGGCAGCCCAGTGGGCAGGCGAAGACGCAGTCGCCGTTGTCGTTCTTCACAAAGCCCTCGTAACAGTCGCACTCGCCCGGAGCCCGGCAGCTCCCGTTCCGGCATCCGCACAGGGGCCGGCAGGCAGTCACTCCCCTGTAGCGACTGGCCGAGTAGCCCGTGCAGCAGACCTCGATCTGCGACAGGCGCTTGGATTGGTCTGCCTGGATGACACTGGCGTGCGGGTACTTCTCTACGGTTTCAGGACTGCAATGATGGTAGTAAAACTAGCTTTAGTGAGCTTTGCTTAATAGATTGTCTATGAATAACTTAAAATATTTTCCATTACCCTTAATATATTTTCTTGTATTCTTTGAAAAAGATAATAAACCTAATATGTATGCTAAATAAAACTGTTTTATGCAATATTGTATTTGCGTCATCTGTTAAGGTGTTTGTATATATGTATGCAAGTTAAATTGCAATTCTGATGATATGGATTTAGTCATATATGCTATAACTTTTAATCTTTTTGTACTTCGTATTCAGCCTAGTAAATAGTACGTTTTCAATATGCTAGTAGCGTTTTGATGTAAATAGAAATTATCAGAACAAGAAAATGTTCAGGGCTCATAAGTTTAAAAAGTTTGTATAAAACAAGAATATCCGTGTGTTTGTTTGCCTTTCTTCCTTAAATAGCGGCATTTCTTTATAGAGAAACTTGGAACATCGAAAATATAGACTTATGAGGACAATTTGGCAAAGTTTTGTTTAAATTAAATGAAGAAATGATGAACAAAACAGTTGCCAGCTGGTTATAGAAGATATGGCTTGGATTTCAAAGACTAAATAGAAGATTACACATTATAGATTACAGTACTCAAAGACTTTTAGGCCGTGCTATCAATACAATCCATACTTACGGCACCCATATGCGGCACTTGTTGTGCCCCGATGGTGTTTCATGGGAACGTATCAGATACTCGCGACGCGTTCGCTGCTGATCTACGTTTGTGGCATCTTCGAAATTGGCTGCTCCAGGTCTATTATTATTTCTCAGCTGCCTGTTGTCCAAATAGGCGCCACCATAGTTTCCCGGATCCTGGGAATTGGGTCTTCGCGGGCCATATCGAGACTCGTAGTCCCCGAAATTTGGCAAGTGAGCATTAGTACAATAAATGCTTAATAAAAGGTGCAGAAAACTTAGGCCCAAGCTCAGCTCTGGCAGCCGCATTGTGACTTATTTTTAATATGGAAGTGCTCACTATTTGCCAGCTAAAATTGTACTGATTTTGTTTGAGATTTGTGAGTTTGCTACTCGAACGCTGTTTGTTTGGCGGCTTATCAGAAAAGCTGTGCTGATTTCTCATAAACAGAGCGGAATTCGGTTTAGCTTTTTTAAACATAAAACAAAACAAGTAGGAGAGCTGCAGACGAGTGTGACCGACTTTAAAATACCTGTTAGGCAAAGAATAGATGGTGAAATTAAAAGGAACATGGGTACTCCAAATTCACTATGTCTAATTTGTTTAAATTTATTAAAAACCTAAATTAAACATTGTGAAAGGCAAAAGATGTTGACAAATGAAGAAATAGTAATATGTTGCTAGATGCATGTTGCTAGTACTATGTTGCTAGAAACATATTGAGCAACTAGTGTTGCCAACACAAATGTAGATGTTGCAAAAGTTCGAGAACAGATCTTACAGCTATTTGAATTTATAGGAATACTAATTAAAAAAGTTAAAATAAATTATTACATTAAGTGTAAATATAAAAAAAAAAAAAATTGTTTTTTATATCTGCTCACTTTAAGCGCATTAAATTTTATATCTTATAATAATAGGCTAAGCACCAAAGAGCATACACTAAAATCGGTGTAATTACTAGATTACTTGCTCGCACTTTTTATGCTGTTGTTATGTTTAATCAACTTTAAATTTCTAAAATTACCTTTCCAACCTATGTCCATTCGTGTCTATGTTCCCCTCAATATACAGAGTATCAAGACCTTATTGAATCGGAAGCCATTCCTTCGGTTCGCTATTCGGGGCTTAGACTGGGACCCACTTCGCCGCCTCCCTTCCTATGTTGATAGACCTTCCCTCTCTTAAGGATCGTCGGACCTGCCACGGCGTGATGTTCCTTTAGAAACTAATCAAAGGACATATTTTTTCTAGTCAGCTTCTTAGTCAAATACGTTACTCAGTTCCTTCAAGGCCATCACGTTACTTTCGGCCTTTGGATATTTCTAAAACAAATTTTGAGGCACATGATCTATTCCGCGTTTTATGTTTGCTCTACAACGACCTGTACATATTGTTGTATTTTGAAATGTCCTTCGATTTAAAAAAAAACAATATCTTAAGACACTTATCCTAGCCTCTGGCCATCTGATGTGAGTCATTAAAAAACACTCCTTATCCGGTCGGATAATAATAATATAATATAATAATAAATAATAAATAAATAATAAAGAATCGGTTTGAGCAAAAGCCGAGCTGAGACATTAGCTGGCTCGCGAATCGGGCCTGTAGATAACACAGATTTAAAGTAACATTTGTGCTTACTAAAAAAACAAACGATTGCTATTTGTTCAATTAGCTGTAAAGTACCATACAAGTTCTGTAGTTCATTCTCATTTGACATACTTTGGCCTTGTGGTCTCTGGATCTCGTTCGTTACAATTAAAAGCCAAAAGCCCTCTTATCTGTGCCCCCGGCTGCGATTAAAGGCCTGCCCAGCTGCGTCGCCATCGCTGGAGCAGTGAACAATCGCGACTTGAGCGCTTCGGTGGTGCGGTCAAAGAGCTTGAATCGGGAATCCAGGATGTCGCCCCTACTGCGCAGTCTGTGCATCAACTCGCTCCTGCTTCTCCTCTCGGTCTGCCTTCTCCAGGCCCTGGAGCTCCAGCTGCACGAGCGGCAGCTGCAGCAGCAAAAAGACGAGCAGCTCCGGATGCAGGCGGCGCAGCGTCAGCGTGACCAGCAACGGGAGCTGGAGGCACAGCAAAGGCGCCTGTCCTCCACGACCACCAGTCGAAAGCCATACATAATTCCCAACGGGCTGTCCCTGCCCCGCCGAGGAGAGCATCCGGACAAATGCTACCGGGAAGTGCCGTAAGTTGTTTAGCCAAGCCGAAGGATGGAGGTGCACCTATTGACCTCTTGAATATAAATATAGCATCCTTTATTTAACTACAAATATTACTATAGTTCCGCTTCTAGATATATTTTAACTCCTGTTATTGTGCAGTGCTGTCTTCTTTCAGTACGACAAGGAGGTAAAGATTGTGGGCAACAGCACCACTAATCCCTATTTCAACGTGATCGAGGTGTGCTGCAAGGGCTGGCGGCGCTACGAGTACGACTGGAGCCGATGCGTTCCCGACTGCGGCGAGCGCTGCCAGGAGAACGGCTTCTGTGTAGCGGGAGGCCTGTGCCAGTGCTTCGACGACTTTGTGCTGAACTACCGCAACAACTGCGTACCCACCTGCCCACTTGGCTGTCCCCACGGGCGCTGCTTCCTGAACGGCACCTGCCTGTGTGACAAGGGCTACGAGCTGGACGGTTCGCGCCGCTTCTGCCAGCCACAATGCAACGCCACCTGTGGCCACAACGAGGTCTGCCTGGAGCCGGGCAAGTGCTCCTGCGCCGAGGGTTTTGCACGTGGCCTGCGCGAATCCTCAGCACTCGGATGCCAGCCTGTGTGCATTCCCGACTGCGGCTACGGTCACTGTGTGGGTCCGAACGAGTGCGAGTGCTTTCCGGGATATCAGAAGCGGCTCAATAGGAGCTCTTGCGAGGCTCATTGCTACAAGTGAGTATAAAGTGCCGTAATATATGGTGACTTTACCTTTAACAGGTGAAGCTAAGAGGGTCTTGAAATATATCTAACATTTTCACGAACTCAATATCTTAGAAGTGTCCCTTAATTTTGCTTAAACTTTTTTCAGACGCTGCGAGAACGGCTTTTGCGCTAACTTTACGGCCTGCGTGTGCCAGAACGGATATCGCTACGACGAGAATACGACGAGCTGCCTGCCGGACTGTGGGGACACCTGCGATAACGGGGTCTGCATCTCGCCGGGCAACTGTCGCTGCTTCAATGGCTACGTCCGGAACCGGGAGCGCTGCGACGCAGTCTGCGAGCGGGGTTGCGGCTTCTACGGCAAGTGCATAGCTCCGGACGTCTGCGGATGCGCTGTGGTGCCGGGTCCGGACCGCACGTACCAGAAGTGCGAGTTCGGACTCTGCAACGCCGAGGGACGCTGCCGCTGCCAGGTGGGCAAGACGCGCTTCATCGACAAGTGCATGTCGCCGGACACGGTCACCACCTACGCCTCGATGAACCCCGTACGGGTAAACGCCTCGCTGATCCAGGAATTCAATCTGCTCATAGGCAGGCACTTTGTGTTGGGCGGCTCCAACCTCGTCTACAACTCCATGTGGTGGCTCTGAGATAAGCCCTTGTTTTTGCTCGCACTTTCAGCGGCGGAAGAAAACACTAATAAACACTGAAATATTTCTCAATTGTTGTAGCCTTATCAGTAGGTCATACCCATATCTTGAGCTTCCCATTGGTCTATTTTCGGATTAAATAATGCTCATGCGGGGGATACCTCGCGGAGCCACTTGTCAACAGATTTAGATTAAACAGAATGTTGTTTAATTCTTAAGTGACGAGATCAAGGATTTCAGAGTTACGTAAAACATAAGTAGTTAACTAAGAATGAATACGCCCTGCCCATTCAACATACCCGATGACTACTCGGTATCAAAAATATAATTATCTTTATACGAATATAGACAATTTCTTTCTTCGTACATTTAAATGCCGGGCCTGACGCAGACGACAATTTAGTTGCCCCGAGACGTTGGCGAGCGCTGCTCTCGCTTTTCCAACCGACCTCATTCCTAGTCACAGCGCCAAGCGAAATGCACTTGACATCAGTGCTGGCTGGCCTACTTATCGTTTGCCTGGCCTACGATCTGCCCTCTCCCGCCGCCGCCCAGTTTTGGAAAGCGGCGATCCCCACTCCCAGCTGGCGCACTGATGCGCTGGCCGATCGCCCCTCCGGAATCTGCTACAGGGACCTCAAGTGAGAAGTCCACATTCTCTAGAATCCACCAGCGCCTAATCACAATTCGTTGCTCTCTCACAGCGTGGACACCATCAATCCGAATTCCAGGCGACGGCAGATCTCCTACTGCTGCGATGGCTACCTCCGCATTGGCAGCTCCGAGAAGCTAACGTGCCTGCCCATCTGCCGGGAGGACTGCTCCAATGGTCTGTGCGTCTTGCCAGACACCTGCGAATGTGCGCCTGGCTACTATCGACGAGATGGGAAATGTCATAAGGAATAAATAAAATAAATAAATAAATAGAAATCTACCCCAATCTTAATGTACTTTGGTTTTAAGTTAAACCATTTTTGAGGGGCACTAACTATTAGAACTTTCTGTTAAATATGTAATTACAAAATTTTATTCATTTCAGATTTTTAACGAAAACACTATTAAATGAGCTGAAATATTTCTGATATCAAAATTTAATATGATCAACAACAAAGAAGTTAGAAATAATATATAGAAATAAATAATAGAATGAGAAATAATATATCTAGTATCTAATTAGTCGCATGTTTCATAGTTTCATAGCAGCTAAGATATTCTGTTTCAACAATTCAATTTTTTTTTACCTTAAAAATTTCATATTATAAATATTTGAAATTGAAGGTGCCAAGTGAAGCAAACATTTTTGTAGTGTTATTACACCCTTGCAGGGTATTATAATTTCAGTCAGAAGTTTGCAACGCAGTGAAGGAGACGTTTCCGACCCTATAAAGTATATATATTCTTGATCAGCATCAATAGCCGAGTCGATCTAGCCATGTCCGTCTGTCCGTCTGTCCGTCTGTCCGTCTGTCTGTCTGTCTGTCTGTCTGTCTGTCTGTCTGTCTGTCTGTCTGTCTGTCTGTCCGTCTGTCCGTCTGTCTGTCTGTCTGTCTGTCTGTTTCTACGCAAACTAGTCCCGCAGTTTTAAAGCTATCTGAATGAAACTTTGCATATAGTCTTCTATATACTCTCACTGCTATATATGTCGGAACGGGCCGGATCGGACGACTATATCATATAGCTGCGATATATTTTTAGAAAAACAAGAAAGGAAGCTAACTTCGACACGTTGAAGTTTGTATACCCTTGCCGATTGCAATTGGATCACTAAGAATCGAGCCATTCTGGTTAAATAATTCGAATTGAATTTCATGCATTTTTGACTGAGTTGTGAACCTTTGAAAATTAGTTTCTTGCTCATTTTTGTTTAAACAATTATTTAAAAATTACAGGTAAGTATTAAAGCAAAACTAAGTAGGCAGTTTTGTTAAGCTTAGAATAACCAACTTAGAACAACTTTCCGAAATGAATTTCATGCATTTTTGACTGAGTTATGAACCTTTGAAAATTAGTTATTTTCCCCAAAAATAAATCGCACCATTTTTGCAAAAATATGTAAATATGTAAATATTAAAATTCTAAAAAATTGAGAAAAAATGAAATTGAAAAGAACCCTAAACGTAGTATGCAGTTTTGTTAGGCTCAGGCAACTCAGAACAGCTTTCCGAATAGAATTTCATGCACTTTTGGCTGAGTTATGAACCTGAAATTAGTTTTGTTTCTGAAAAATTATCAAAATAAATCGCACCCTTTTTTTTAATTTAATTGCAGCAAGCTGCCAGGAACTGAAAGCGGGTGCCGAAGGCGAGACAGAGAGCGTTGGCAAGGAGGATCAGGACGAGGAGGAGCAGAAGTGCCACCAAGACCGAGTCGAAACCACTGGGAACGACCTCCGACATTCCCACATGCCTCACCTTTTCTTCTTTTATTTATTTAAAGTTGAAAGAAATAATAAACCTTAAAAAATGTGTTATTTTTGAGTTATGAGGAGGATGCGGTTTTTTTTTGGGTGGGATAATTTAAACAGGCTCAATGGAAGGGCATTCTTGTGGTGGAAAATGAAAGAAACATCAAAGCAAAATAGCTAGATGAGCATCACTGACAGTTAGTGAAAAGTCATTTTGTCCCAATAATGCAAAATATCTAGACGCGCATCACTGACAGTTAGAGAGATGCCATTTTGTCCCAATAATGAAAAAAAAAAACTAGATGAGCATCACTGACTGTTAGTGAGAAATAAATGGAAATAATGCAAAACAGGTAGTTGAGCATCACTGGCAGTTAGAAAAATGCCATTTTGTCCCAATAATGCAAAATAGCCAGATGAGCATCACTGATGCAGATGAGCATCACTGATGCAAGTGAGCAAATTTTTTCATTCGATTTGGCCGCTTTCCAAACTGGGGTAACACAGGCGAACAGAACCCAGCAGCAAGCAACTGAAAACTGGTATCTACTGTTATAAAAACTTTTGGGCAAAAATAATAATTGGTATACACTGTTATATTTCATTTTATGCATTTATACCTATTTGTTGCCGACAACAACAGCTTTTGGCTACAACAACCTTTTTACAACAACATCCCTACAGCAGACCATCCAAATTTCCGAAAATTTCCATGCAATTTGCCTGCTTTTCAAATTGGGGTAACAGGCGAACAGAAACCAGCAGCAAGCAACTGAAAACTGGTATAAACTGTTATAAAAAGTCCAAGTTTCGAACCTTATGGGAGCAAGCGAAAGTCAGCGGAGACTCAACCCTGGCTTCTTTCTCAAAATACAACTCTGTGTTGTCTGCTCTCTTCTTTTCTGGACACTTGCTATCCCTCTCTGAGCTGCCTGCCCAGAGTTGAATTTTGGGAAAACAGCCGTTACATTCGCTTGCTCCTAAATGGTCCGAAACTTGGACTTTTTATAACAGTTTTTAGTTGCTTGCTGCTGGTTTCTGTTCGCCTGGTACCCCAATTTGAGAAAGGGCCAAATTGCATAGAAATTGTCGAAAATTTGAATGGGCTGCTGTAATTATTTTTAATTTCTCTAGCTTCAGTTGCGACTTAAATTATTATTTATTTCCCCCGTTAATTGAAAATTATAATATTTAAGAAAATAAAAAATATTTAATTTAAATATTTATTTATTTAATTTATAATTGGTATAAACTATATAACTGGTATAAACATTTATATTTTATTTTATGCATTTATACCCTTTTACCGCCGGCACAGCCATTTGATTGCAACAACAACCCCATTACAACAACCGCTCTACAGCAGCCATCCAAATTTTCGAAAATTTCCATGCAATTTGCCTGCTTCTGAAATTGGGGTAACAGGCGAACAGAAACCAGCAGCAAGCAACTGAAAACTGGTATAAACTGTTATAAAAAGTCCAAGTTTCGAACCTTATGGGAGCTAGCGAAAGTCAGCGGAGACTCAAACCTGGCTTCTTTCCCAAAATACAACTCTGTGTTGTCTGCTCTCTTCTTTTCTGGACACTTGCTATCCCTCTCTGAGCTGCCTGCCCAGAGTTGCATTTTGGGAAAACAGCCGTTACTTTCGCTTGCTCCTAAATGGTTCAAAACTTGGACTTTTTGTAACAATTTTCAGTTGCTTACTGCTGGTTTCTGTTCGCCTGGTACCCATATTTGAGAAACGGCCAAATTGGATAGAAATTGTTGAAAATTTGAATGGGCTGCTGTAATTATTTTTAATTTCTCTAGCTTCAGTTGCGTATTTTTATCTACTCTGAGATGTAAGCTTTTTTTTACTATATTAGAAATTTTGGAATAAATGTCATAAAAATCGGACAACTATATCATATGGCTGTCATAGGAACGATTGGTAGATGTAGAGAAAATGTAAAGCTGGGAATGTAAAACTGTAACTGTCAAACTGTAAATATAATAGGTATAGGTAAAATGTAATGAAACTCTGTTTTGTTTTTTTAGCAATAAAATGTATAATGTTTATTGTATTAGATATGTATTTCAAATCTAAAATATAGTTTTTTTATATGATTAATCTTAATTTTTTTAATACATAAAAACCAAATTATTATATGCTATTTAACCATAATGCATCGATTCTTAATGATCCAATGGCAAACTGAAAGGGTATTGAGATCCTATTTTGAGTCCAGTTCTGCAAGCTGTAAAACCAAAAATAAAAGAGCTATTAAATAAACAATAAAATGATTATAATGAAATCAATGTGTGTTTAAATAATATATTTATCGTTACTTTGAGTTAATTTACCTTTAATGTCAAATCATCAACCTTTGTAAATTATAAATGAGATTCAGTCAAGAAGAGCACCCTTCTCTGCTCTCTCCAACTCAACAGCCTCCAAGTGTTGCTGAAGTCATCGCTGTTCGCTAAGATTTTCGTGGAATTGCCCATTGATTGTTAACAAAAGAAATTCATTATTTACGTCGGAGCAAATATAAATTATCATTTTGTTTTGCCCTAAGGCTGCCGAGAGCAAACCTTCGCTCCGTTCGCCCCATTGATGCGACCAATGGCGAGGTGCTGATTAGGAGACGGACAAGGGGTCGCCGGAGGCGATTTGCGGCTGCCGGCTTTAGATCCGCAGCTTTCGCACTGGCAGCCGACTAGTCGAAGTGCAGCAGTAGTCGCCAACGGACGTGGACGTGGGCGCACTGAAATTTCCATACGTAATCGCAATCAAGTGACATCACCATGAGCTCACCGCCCCAGCTGCTGGCCCTGAGTGTTCTGCTGGCCATCTGCTCCCTGGGCCAGGGCCAGTTCAAGACGGCAGGCATCAAGACACGCCAACCCCCGTCGGGCAACCTCCAGCTGTCCGGAAACGCCACCGATTTCAACCAAAGCGGCTTCAACTGGGGCAGCTACAACCAGAGCACTTATGGCTGGAACAGCCAAAACCAGAGCAATTACGTCTGGAGCAACCACAACCAGGCTGGATCCAGTAACTTTGTTCCGGCGGAAACATACCAACCATCCACCCTACCGCCTCTTTATGGGCACTATGTCCAGCCTGTGACTGTTCCGGCTAATCGCCGACCCCAAGTCCTCGACGAAACAGCGCTGTTCATCAATAGGACCAGATCTGGGATGGCCAGCGGCATCTGCTTCAAGGAAGTTCCGTAAGTTTTAATCAAAGGAACACATTTTTATTTACTCTCAACTATGGTCAGAGAGCACTCGAAAACAAAGCACACAATTAAAATAATGAACTAACGACCTCGACTTCCTCCACTGGCCTGATAATTAAGTGCTCATTGATAGTAAAAGCTAATAATGTGGATGAATTTAGTGTGCAGTCAAGTACTCGTTTTATGCAACGTGAAGCTTCGAAATGCGGTACATAATTTAATATTGATTCAGGTATCGATGGAATATTAGTTGGGGAATAAAAATATTAATATAAATATTTATCTTTTGAAATATATTATAAATTTGTGATATTATAATTTTGCAGTGTTAAGTAGATAAGTCTTTCAAGATCCCTTTCTGTTTCTCAAATTAAAACAATTCTAATTTTTTTCTTTCAAAAATCAGAAAATAATTAGTGAAAACCCTGTTACTTTTAGGGTCAAATCGATTTGAACAAATAGTTTCCTTAAAATTAAACAAGCATAAGTTAAATTTACTATCAGACCTTATGAAAATCATAATAATATTTAGAAATCATTGCTAGCCATAGAACGATGTTTGGCATTGTATTTTTTTCACAAACTAATCCACGGCGAGGTTGAGAGCCCTGCTAGGACAGCTCAACTTTCAGGTTCCTCGAATACCATCTAGGACTTATGTCCCCTTAGTAATAAATCACTATAGGCGGGAGTTTGAAGTACTAGTACACTTTAGGGTTTTACATGCTGATTACAACCGCCTCACACGGCGCTCGGTTGGGTGGGATGTGGGCGTGGGACTCGCGCAAAAAAACTGTATATGTATTGAATTAACTTAAACTTAAACTCACTTTTAGCACCGCTTCGCTCCTGCGCAACTCCCGCGACAAGTTCGTGGGTAACGGCACCACTCCGGACATGAGTCGCATCGAGGTCTGCTGCGAGGGCTACGAGCGTAATCCGCACATCTACCGCCGCTGCGAACCCATCTGCGCTGACGACTGTCCCAACGGCATCTGCACGGCGCCCAACACCTGCGTCTGCATTCCCGGCCATGTGCGTACCGCCGAGGGCAAATGCATCTCCACCTGCCCGCTGGGATGCGGCAACGGGGTGTGTGACGAGGCCAACGAGTGCCGCTGCCGCGAGGGCTACTCGCTGGATCCGGAGACCCGCAAGTACTGCCAGCCGGAGTGCCGCCCAGGATGCGCCTTCGGTCGCTGCGTCGCCCCCAATAAGTGCGCATGCCTGGAGGGCTATCGCCTAGCCGCTGACGGCAGCTGCGAGCCGGTCTGCGACAGCTGCGAGAACGGCAGGTGCACTGCTCCCGGCCACTGCACCTGTAATGGGGGCTACCTCAAGCTGCAGGGCCGCTGTGAGGCCATCTGTACGATGTGAGTAAACTAAGTCTTGAGAGGAGATTGCGAATCTGTATCCTGACAAAATGCCTCCCCTTCCAGACCCTGCAAAAACGGACGTTGCATTGCGCCGGACGTCTGTGAGTGCGCCTCCGGGTTCGAGTGGGACCGCAAGTTGGCCGAGTGCCAGCCCAAGTGCGACATTCCCTGCCTCAACGGCGTCTGCGTGGGCAACAACCAGTGTGAATGCAAGCCGGGCTACGTGAGGGACGAGCATCAGAGGAACATCTGCCAACCCCACTGCCCCCAGGGATGCCAGAACGGCTTCTGCAGCGCTCCCAACTTCTGCATTTGCAGGCCGGGATTCACCAAGAGCGGCATCAAGGGACGCCAAACCTGCCAGGCCACCTAAGCAACCGTCGGACGCAGGCATACTTAAAACTTGCAATCTTTATTGTTTTTACTCAGGTGAAATTAAAGAGACGCCCAATGAGGGCATTGAACTCGTAACCTAGCTGGTGATTCAAGTGCCTCCTCTGCTCCCTGGTGGAGACTTGATGGGTAAGTTCCTGAGGCTTTAGGCAGCGGTCGACGAAGTGGGATTCCCCCGGAGGGCATGCGCAGTGCCCCATCTCGTCGCAGATTCCATTCAGGCAGTGCTGCTGGGACTGCCCGCAGCCGCAGATATTCGGGGCCAGGCAACGACCATACTTGCCACAGGATCTGTGAAAGTTTAAGCCGTAAGCTGCGTATCTATTAACTCTTCCCCAACGATACCAACTTCTCGCACTTGGGCTGGCAGCCCGTGAGGTGAGCTTCGTATCCTTCAAAGCAGCGGCAGACTCCGGGGGCGATGCACACTCCATTCCCCTGTCCGCAGTTATCGGTGCACTCCGGCAGACAGCTGGTGGTGTTCTGGTCGTAACGATAGCCCTCCCGGCACTGGCACCTGTACCTCGACTCACAGAAGCCATTCTCGCAGTTGCTAATCATTTTTACAGATAAATATAGACCTTTTTTTTACACCAAACTGTGCATACTTACATGTAGCACTCCGCCTCGCAGACATTCCGCTGCGGTCGCTTTATGAATCCGGCAAAGCACTCGCACTGATTGGGGGCCGAGCACTTTCCATATCCGCAGTCAGGAGCGCAGACGGGCTGGCATCCGAGGTCAGGAGTGCGGCGGTAGCCCGGTGAGCAGTCGCACTGGCCTGGCGCAGAGCACTCCTCGTGGGTGCCACAGGCCTGGGAGCACTGCGGACGGCAGAACTGGCGCGTCTCCTGGTCGAGGGCGTAGCCTGGGAAGCACGCACAGGTCCCGTTCAGGTAGCACCTGCCATGCTGGCAAGCGATCGGGCAGGTGTGGATGCAGGCACCGTGCTCGTTGCGGACAAACTCCCCGAAGCACTCGCAGCGGCCAGGGGCTTGGCAGAAGCCGTTGCGGCAGTTGTCCGGCGAGGACTCCGAGCAGTCGGGCACACATTCGCTGGAGTAGCGGTCACGTCGGTAGCCCAGGCAGCAGACCTCGACGCGATGATAGAAGATGGTGGAGCCATTGCCGCGTGGCACGGTATCCTTCTCGGTTTGGAAAAACACGGCCCTGTAATCGGAAAATCTCAACAATCGCGCTTTTTGGGGTTTCCCCTAGTCTGTGCTTCCCAGGCATCAAATACATAGAAGGTCATAATGCTCGGCCGTATAGATATAGAATGTTCTCAGTACTTACGGCACCTCGCGCTGACAGAGATGTTGCTGGCGCTCGCGGGTCAGGCTCAGCGACTCGAACTCCCCCGGAGTCACTATGTCCCCGTAGAGCTCGAGCTCTCCAGAATCGGCCTCGATCAGAGCCGGCGCCGTCGCCAACGTCAGCAGAACAGCTAGCAGAGCCGACGGTCCCCTCGACAGCATGCCGCCTGTAGTATCAAGTTAGGGTGTCGCGGACCGAATGAGCGATTTACTGGGGAACTTCGTAGTGCTCGGGGAGCTTATCAGCACCAGCTCTCGTTCTCGAAAAGCGGTCGACCAGCGTACTCAAGAGAATTTATGCAATTGTAGTTATTTCTTTGTTTTTAAACAGCACATCGCTCAAACATTAGTCTCGCAATGTTGTTATTTCCTATTGAAAATGAATCCCAAAGGAGTCGGATTTTTTAAACCAATATAATCACCATTTTCACTGGCAGTTTATATCCAGCTCTTCGAGCGTCAATACATACGTCTTCCTACCATTTCGTGCATTTAGTTGAGTTTAAATAAATAATAACTAAATTATTACTGTGGCACACAATGAATTTGCTTACTTGGATTGCTTTTTTGGTACTATTATGTGCAGAAATCAATTCAATGCCAAAGGAGGCATTACCACATTTGCAAAAGTCGAAGTTGGGCATGCCTTCACGATTCCTAAGAGAACTGCCGAAATATTCATCCGATACTTCAAACATCAAGGAAAATACCTTCGACAACGATTCGATTGCAGTTTCACAAAATAAAGGAAAAGTGTTCAAGCTTTCAACAACGGCAATACTTGGCTTAATTGGATTAATTTTCGGAATAATAATCTTTGCTGGATATTTGCGTTACAAGTATAACCATCGCACCTCTTACAATCGATAAAGTAATTATGTTTATTTTACATAAAGAAAAACTTATCGCAATAAACTAAGAATCATTTATTGTTTGAGAAGTTTCAAGTTAATAAAAAGCAGAAAACTATTTTCAAATCATTTTATGTACATTGTACAGGTATTACTATCAGATATACTTTAAATTCTTTTTCAGAACCTAAGCCTAACCTTTTAGAATAGGATAGAATACATGAGTATGTAAACAGTAGCATGCATAAATGATTTTTAAAACTATTTTCAATCGATATTTATTATATCTACAAAATGTTTACGTCTGATGCGGCTTTAAATATAATCTTTTAATAATATATTTGAGACAGCTGTGTTTATTGTTTCGGTTACCCTCAGAGATGAGCTATTCTCTTGGCTGTTATTTGGGCGGGCACCTGTAGAAAGTTGGAGTTCTGCGGCGGAATTATCAAGTGGGTTACATGGTGGGGTCGCTGATGGGGCTGGTGGCCACCGCTGATGAATTGGTCACTCCTTGGCATTGAAGGCGGCCTGGCCGGCAGGAATGCGGAGACCGATGTGGAGTGTTGAATGTTTTGGTGGCTTCGCGGCTGGTGATGGTGATTCTGAATGTGGACGTGGGTGTTGTGGTGCTGCTGGTGGTAGCGGATCTCGTCGTAGAGATGCGAGTCCAGGCTGCCCTTGCGCGACTTGGGCGAGACCACTGAGTAGAGGGACTCCTTCCTAGCGTAGGCGTAGGGCGGTGTTTTGACCGACGAGTTGTTGCTGGGCGTGTCATACAATTCTGTGAGCGCTGTTTGGTAATTGTAAGATTTTAGGTCAATTTGTTAACACTTTTAAAGGACTTGTACAAGGATATAACGTAATATAACATTATATTGTATAATTAATAAAATTTGAAATATAAATAAAATTGCTAATACAAAAACGATATGTTGGAAACTAAGACTCAGCAATCAGTGCCTGATAAATCATACTAATTGCAACTCGATTTATGTGAATTAATTAAAACTGATAGAAACTCGACTGAAAATCTCATATTAAAAAACCTCCAATTTATAAATGTTTGGATAAAATCGGATAACAAATATTGTTTCCTATGTTTAACTCCTGCAACATGTTTTACTTTTAGCAACACCAATAGATGTTGCTCAACATATTCCTAGCAACATTTGTCTTTGTTGCGCAACAGTTCCTAGCAATTGTCAACAATTTTCTTCATTTGTCAACATATTCTTCTGCCTTCCGCCCTGTTTAATTTAATTATTGTATAAATTTGAGCATTATTGTGTTCCTTTTAATTTCCCCCAACAACAATGCTTTGGCTACGGGGTATCTTATACTCGTCGCACACTTAACTTTAGCTCTCTTCCTTGCGTTATGTTGTTATTTTCGTGATAGCAATTTTTAAGGTCGGCTGAGACACTTACATACCCTCGTTCGAGTGGGGCGTCACCGTGAAGACGACCGGCGGCTCTGGCAGCGGCTCGTGAAAGTTCTTGCCCAGGGCCGCGGCCCCAGTGAGTACTACCTCGGGGTTACTGGCGGGCAGATTGGACACCGAGCCGTTGGCATTATAGACGCTCGCCTCCTTCAGGTGATGTCGGCGATACACGTAAAGGGATCCAGCTATCGATACCAGCAGGAGCAGCATGATGATGACCAGCATGGTCACCAGGCCCGACTGATGATCGGCAGGCGCCTGACTAGTCTTGGTGTCTCCGCCAACGAACCCGGCCAGGTGCTCCTGCGGCGAGGTGATGCCATTGGTGATGACATGGATAACCTCAGGAGCTGGAACACCGGCGGCCGCAGCGGAGTGTAGATTCTCGAGCAGTTCGCTGCCCGACTGGTGCACAATGATCTTGGGAGTGTGCTGGCCGCTTTCCTGTCCTGCAGGCTGTTTGATCACTATTACCTCCGGCAGGGGACTGGATGGGACTGGGCGTGGTATAATGCCCATTTTCTCCAGCGTTGAGTTGACTGTCTCCACGATGACATGGCTTACATTTACCTCCAGCGGATGGTCCTGCAGAGTGCAAGCACCGGTCTGGGGGTGGCAAGGCTTTTCGTCGCAATCGCAGGCCTTGCGGCACATGATGCCGTGGGTTCCTTGAGGGCAGGGCTTTTCACAGCTGCCGAAAAATAAAATAAGAGCAAAGGATAATCCAATCCATAATCGAAGCACTTACAATTGTCCTGTCCAGCCGGCCAAGCAATGGCAGATGCCGGATTTGTTGTCGCAGGCAGCCCCATTTCTGCACTCGCAGAAATTTTTGCAGTCCAGGCCCCAGCGGTCGTGATCGCAGCCTTTAGGGAAATTATAAATATTTTGAATTCACTCAAGTATTGTGAGCTTATTATACTCACGTTGGGTACAGTGCTTCCCAATGTAGCCCTCCTCGCAGCTGCAAATGTCCGGCATTACGCAACTGCCACGCCCACAGCCGCCACGGCAAATGGGCTTGCAAGTGGCCTGGCTGTCGGAGAGATTTCCCTCGTATCCTTGGCAGCAGAAGCGAACTGTTCGCGTCTTGTTTAATTTCTGCAAACAGCGTTATTCCATTGTTATTTAAATATAAATTAAAGGTGCCTGAATCTTGAAAAGCTCTATAAACCCCTTGGTGTCAAGTAAGGTAAGTTTAAAAACTTATACCATATTCGTAATACATCAATAACCAACCTGAGATTTCCTGGGAATATCTCCTTTTTAAAGAGTTTACAAATAGATCAGAAACACTTTTATTAAGACTTAATTTAAGAGCATTTGCAATTACAAAAACCCCAAAGTATGCCATGTAATACACGCGGCTTTCTGCGGGCCTAAAACTATGCAAGATTCAAGATTCCCACTTAAACAGGCCTCAGTTGTGCCACAAATATCTTTGATCTTCACTGACGCTGAAGAGGGCCTCATTACAAGACATCCCTAATTGAATAAACTCGATAAGAACTCTCCATCAGCCCTGTCAACGCCTTAGTGTGGACTTTGGCCCAGCCCTCGCCAGTTATGGATTGAGATGGAGACGGCTGTGAGGAAGGGCACCCACATTCCCGCGAATACCCCTTGAGTTGCCAATTTAATTGAATGAACTGAGTGCCCACCGAGCTTCTCACACTCATTCTGGGAGCGGTAGTTGGTCCCAGTCCGCTTCCCGACTTACGCATTGTTGATGGATTTGTATCTGGAGGGCGGCCCGCGTATCTGGAGCTGTGTCACTGCCCGAGCACGCGGTCACCCCTCGCATGAATAAGGCGGAAATTTTAATATAAACAGAGAAATTCGATTCGAGTCGAGTTGTGTCTCCTGATTCACTGGCTCTGCATAATTGCGGCTGGCTTTTCAAATGTTCGTCATAACAGTAATTGAATACAAGTTGGACAATTTTTACTTGTGCCTCTCGAGTTACAGCACGGCCCGTGGTCGTGTGGGGTCCATCTATCAATTAAAAATGACACTTTACCTTTGCATAATCGGGAAATCCTTCGGGCTTTGTGGCTCAAGGCGGGATCAAACCAGTATTTCCCATTCAGACCCAAAACCTCTGTGGGTCCGTGTTCATGTTAATTAATTAATCGAAATTGGCGAATTAGTGGCTGCATTTTGTGACCAAAAAGCAAGCAAAGTGTTGGCCAAGAAATTTTCTAAGGCGTTGACTTCAATGGCGACAACTGGCGAAATATGCTGTGGGGTGCCAGCCATTAAGGCGATTCTTCTCCTCTCAAGTGCTCCAATTAAAATAATTATGAAATTAATTCGATCCAAGCAGCGAGCGATCTCAACTCGCACAAATCATTAGACACGAAGCCGACAAAAAATAAACTAAGCCAAAACTGGCTGCCTCTTGTCATGGCGATGGCGGTGGCGATGGCGATGGCGACGCTGCAACTCTGCTGCGTGATGCAATCGAAAGTGTGTCAACAGCTCTGGCATCAAGTCGCTGCGCACAAGTGGAGCTCTTAATACCGTCGATCCAGGCCGATCTGGCCATAAGTGCTGGATTTTCCGCTTTTCATTAGCACTTTCCATCACTGACACCATGACATAATTATTTTCGCTTTTCGCCTGCCCCCGGTCCCCGAAATATTTGAAAAAATAAATAACTGAATAGGAAAAACCAGCTGAGCCTGATTAGGCCCCTCGGATCAGGCGACTGCAACCGGATTCTGGCCAAGCTTGGTCAACACTTGGCCGTTGCAGTTGTTTTTTCGCCTTTTCCACTGCGCAGTTTAAAATCAGTTTGCAGTAGGTATTGTGCATAAGATTCAATGTTTGACTACAGTAAACGGTTTGCCATAATTATTATGATTATACGTTAAATGATTTTTATTCAAGCTCTCAAACACTCACAAGAAATGCAAATATTCGACTATTCGTTGGCTGACATTACCCAATAAAATAATTAATTGACTGTATATTTAACTGGACAGTTTTTTTAATAGTTGAAACCTATGTAGCTTCCATTAACAAACAGGTAAAAGAAATGCGCTTAGACGTGCAGTTTCCCAAAATTTTATCTCGCAATATAATATTTTATTATTTTCCAATAATTTCAAAAAATATTCCAGCTAAAATACTTTGCCAACGCTAAGGAATAGATGAATTCTTGAATAATCATATATTTTAAATATTTTAATATATATATTATATATTTTAAAAATAATTTTACATTTGCGCTGCAGTTCTTTTTATATATGGTGGTCCAAATTCTCAAATATATGAAATGGTGTTAATTCACTAACATTTTTGTGGAATTCATGTATTAAATTCAATAATTCCGCCTCGCATAAACTAAAAAAGAGTACACGAAGAAAACCGAATACGCAACAGGTGCCCAGCGGTTCAAGGGGCCTCAGACTCAAGGACACCAATGACTGGTACTTCAGTTTCATGTACAGAGCACAGCTGCCACCAGCCACATGCGCCTCGGGATCTGACTTCCGTTCTCCATAGCAGACTCGGCAGAGACAGAGGAAATCCAGCTCGGCTTCGCCAGAATTGCGCAATGCACCTGTTCGCGAACAGAACCCATAAAGCGCACCAAATATATGAGAAAAGCTATCAAAGTCGGCCATCGGATCGGGGCAATTTATGGATATCGTGGTGAGCGGCTTCCTGGTTGGGCAAATCGAAATCAGGTTTCTGGCGCAGGCTCCCCAGTTGGTGAAAAAGTGGCCACTGCGAAGGTGTTGCCACTGGCTGGACAATGATGACGCAAGAGATGCCCGCAAAGGCAGAGCCGGTAATGGAACACCTGCGACCATTTGGCAGCCTCCCGGAGTCCGGAGTCAGTGTTCCGGAGGCAGGGCAACTCACCTGGACCCTCATCACCTCGCGCAATTCCGTCTTGTAGGTGGCGCACCGCGGCGGGATTTCCATGCACCAGCTGGAGGTGCGCACGCGCACGGGTTGCATCTCCGGCACCTGGATGAGCTCCACGTACGGCTCCTCGCGGATGCAGATGTTGCCGGGGCCCTGGATCGAGGCCAGGGCCACGGGTCCGTCCGCGATGTCCTTCAGATGCGTGTTGATCTTTAGGCTGCTGTTTTGGCTGGATCCCAGAGGGAGCACAGCTACGAATAGCAGGAGCAGTTTCTCCATTTTTAGTTGTTGAATGTTAACTCGATTTCTTGGATTACACTACGTTTAATTCATTATTTTGAAATGATCAAAATATTTAATTTAGAATTTGAATGATTTAACTTGTGCTTAAAACATCATCCAGTTTAGGTTTGATAATTTCTTTTACGCAAGTATTAACTTTTCTATTTTCACTGACATAAATTTCAGGTATTAAATACTTATTTTACTGTTGTATTTAAGGTTTATTTTATTGTAACTTCTTCAATCCGTGCACTGCATTTTGTATATCGCATTCCGAGTTCCGTCCGCTTGATTGGCGCTGCGCGTACGATTGGAACGCGAGTCTCGTGAAAACTGTTTCCCAGTTGGCGGTGATTCAGTTACTCACCCGAATGTTCCTTCTAAAAAACAAACACTACAATAACAGCACCGAACTACGCTGTCATTGCAAATTGTCGCCGAGCTAATAAAGGCCGGCAGGGGGTTACGGGGACGGGACCCGAGCTCGGAGAGCGGAAGTGCGCACTGCCCAGTAAATGCCACAGAGTGAAAGTGAAGCGCAAGGCGCACACGAGACTCAACTCCCCGAACAGAGCCGATATCGGCGAGGGCAGTGATTGCACTTAATTGAAATGTTGATCATGTCCTTAACATGTTGCTGTCATTGCGTTGGGAGCTGCTGCATCATCACTTTATGTGTCGCCTTGCGCTTTTCTTCATCTCTTAGGAGAGTGAAAAATCTCTCAGGACTTAATGACCGACTGTAAATTAAATCATGTAAAAGATGAGACTAAAAGTGGCTTAGCTTAGGAGACAGAACTTCAATCCACACAAGTAAGAAAGCTACATTTGAGGTTGGCTCGACTGTGAGACACCCAGTACCCAAGCCTTTGGAATTTAAATAAAAGGGCAAAAGCTTTGTCAGAGTCAAGCCCAACTCAAGGGTTCTTAAATAAAAGTCTTTGTTTATAAATAAAGTTTATTGTCTATCCACATCCTGGTTTATCATTCGATTGTACTAAATTTTCTGAGTAAGTCCGAAGAATTGTATTTATAACATATCAGTTAACTTATTACCAAATTCAAGGCAATAAGCCAATACAGTGTTATGTTTTTATGATTTAATTTTGTCGTAAAGTTTGGTAGGTAAGGGAAATATGACTTTTTTTATGATTTTAAGATTTCAAGACTTTCTAATTCTTTGCCAATATTTAGGTATTCATTGTTTAGGTATAGAAAATAAAATAGAAAATTAACTAATAATGAAAAGGATTAAAAACTATCTAAGATGAAGGAATGTTTCAGTCATTTAAGGGTACTATTATTAATTAATTACTTTATATATATTTCAACGACTATTTAAATTATTCATTATCGATGGATTACGCATTATTTTAGCTTATATTTAACTAAGCCGACAGCTTTGAGCTCATCAAGTCTTAATGGCTAGCACTTACTTGCGTCTCTGGTTTCAGCAAATTTAAAGCACTTTGCTCACTTACTTGGAACTTCTCTGTTTAAAGCAATTGCTAGTATTGAGGAATCCGACGGGCGGTGCCACCCGGCTCACTTAGCTAAAGTGTCTTATTTCTAAGATAAACTTTAGAACAATGACACTGAGATGGCCGTGCACCGCCACCCGTAACCCCCGATCAACCCACACAAGTGTTGATTGTCTTGTTTACACTGGACTCTTGCAGTGGCTGTAGTTGCTGCCGCTGCAATTTATTAAATCAAAATTACATACCCTGCTAAAAACCAGTTGGGAACTCCGCCAGAAACCGCAGTCGAGGCTGCAGTTCAGCAGGCAGCAGCTGCAGCAAAAACAAAAGCACAGCTTGCAATTGCAGCAGCTATGTGAGTTTATTTATTTTATTTGATTAAATTGCAGGCAACAACAACGAAGGCAGCGAACCCAACAAATGAGTGGACAATGTGCGTGCGACACCGGAGTTCCAATGACCCGCATGGGTTGCACCTCATCCCCATCGCCACCGGCCACCGGCCCCCAGTCCGTCCTGACCCTCACACGCTGCAATACAGGTTTTCCTCAAGGGGTATTCATAGAACCAAGGTGCATGCCAGGATCTTGAAAATCTACGAAAAACTGTATAAGATTATAGTATTATTAAACGTACATTGCTTAGTTCTTTAAGTTAAGTGAGTGATATTAGGGACTTCAAGCTATACAGTTTCAGTCTAACTGACTTATTAGAGAAATACAATATATAGTGTGAATTCAAACCAACTAACAAGTATCCCCAGTTCGACCAACACTAAATGTATCTATTGCATAGTTTGTTGCAATTTTTAGGGTGCCGCCCGTCGAGCAATTTGTCTGGTTTGTTTTTATGTTTTCGTTTATTTAATTTTAGAATTGTGAGTGTGTATTTTTTGGCATTGATTCAAGTTCAGCTCGGTTGTAGGTGCGACTTGAATAAGCGGAAGCAGTAAGTGGATCGGCCTGTTTGCTATCGGAATTTTAACACTGGTTCGAATGCTCTGGAAATTCAAATCAAAAGCGTGCCGAAGTAGAAGCAAATCCAGAAGAACAGGATGCCCAGTGACGAAGAAGCCCCTTGGCGCTCGCCACCATTGTAGTATCCACCGAAGATTTGCAGTCCAGCTGTCTCGATGCTGCGCTTGCAGTAGTCACCGTCGTAGTTCCATCCAACGTACTCGTTCGTCCGGAGATTCTCCAGTCGCAGCCATTCTTCGAGGGGCGCAAAGTATTCCCGCAGAGCGCTGCCATCCAAGCGGCCATCCTGTAGGGTCTCCTCAAGCACCTCTTGCCAGGGCTGGGAGGCGCCTTTGGCCATTAGTTTCCTGTGGAATAAGAAAGAGAGATAGAATTATCAAATCTGGATTCCTTGTATAGTTAATGTCAGAAAAAAATATTCTTTCTTTTATCTTATTCTGGACTCTAAAGTATTTTATATTGCTTATGTCTTCTTTTGATAAATTTTAAAACAATCTATGAAAGAGTAAAAAGGTTATTATGCATCCCACCCCAAACATTGGTCCTACGAGCCGGATTTAATACAATGCAATGCAATTTAAATAATAATTTAAATCAATAAAAGTTAGTACAACTTATATTTAATATATGATATTTTAAGGAAAAAATTATCATTGTGGATTAGTTATTGTTTACGCCAGGAGGCCCCTGCTTCCCCTCTGCCCACCGAGCGTCCAAAAGCTCAAGCGCTTCCAGCTTAGCAACGCTCGCCCGCTCTCCGCTCCTCGGTATTCCCGATCGCACGCTCCCGTGTTCCCGATCGTCGCTCGCTTCTAGGGACGGCTGCGCCGCTCCAATTCCCGGTTCTCCCGCTCTCCCGCTCTCGCGCCGTTAAGCTGGGCTTCTCGGTCGACAGCGGGCCTTAGGCTAAGCTCAAGTTTCAGTTCCAATACGACTGTCAATAAATGCATGTAAAGGGCACTCCGCCGATGTCATTTTTCGACCCCCTAATTTCTGGACTCTTTTTTCTACGTTTTTCTACTTCGTGGGATAAACTTTTATTGATCCTTTTGCGGAGGATTTACCAGCCACCCCACTCCTAAACAGTTATATTTATATTATTATTATAAACCCAAACTGTTCTGATTAAGCCTCTCATAATCTATTCCTAATATATAAATGACATAAAAATGCATATTACCATTTAAATTTTAGTATATGCCATAGGCTCTGTTTACTACTCACTTGAGAATATTGCCGGCCGCTGGCTGTCGGTAGATATCGCATTGATGCAGCGGCTTCCTGGGATCACCGGGAATATATTGGCCTGCCTCGCGACACATTGCGCGGTAGATCTGGAACTGCAGCACCGTGGAGAAGAAGTATCTGCAAGGGAGAGAGAGGGGAAAACATGGCCTTAATAAAACAATAAGAGCAAATTAGCCAAGAACTACCGCTGTCACGCTTCTTGGTCGCTGTAAACGAGGCTTTGACAGTTGTCTCGGGGAGAGTTGCGAGCTTTGCTAGCTGGCTCTGCGGAGCTGCTCGCTTTTGCATTCTGGCTCAAGGTCGAGCTCCAGTTGAAGCCTTAAACTAAGGCAAATCGCCGCTGCCGAGCGACCAAAGTCGTTTTCTTGCAGTTGCGAAATCATGCAAAAGTCAAGTTTTGTGGTCTTGTAATTGCCAATTGCTTTATGCTCATTTAATCACATTTTTGTTTATAGCATTTTTATGGCACTTCTATGGCGACGGCTGCGCAATCAAGGGGCAATTATTCCAGAGCTAAGGTTGTATCAGCTGCCGAAGTTTAAGATCGAATATAAAATCGTATGGGAGCCGTGTTTTCGCAGAAACACTGTATTTATGGCTAGTCATTGCTTACTGATTTATAATAATTATGCAATATTTCCGAAGAGTTTCGGGGATTTTTTAGCATACGAAACTAGAAATGAGCGAAGAACAAGTTCAGCTAATGGTTTTCTTTTGTTTGTTCTCTTCCTAAACGAAAGGGAAGAGCCAATCGAGCATTTGTTTCTGGCCTTCTGCCAGGGGGTTCCCCAGCCAAAGCGCCTTTGATCGTGTCGAGGCGCTAAGCTGAACCCCGACCCCGACCCCTGCCTCCACCAATCCCACACATTCCTCGATCCCACCGAGAATGTTGCAAGCCCGTCTAGGAAAAAAGGCATTTTTAATGCTCGCTTTTCACAACGTTCGATCACGGCTGCAAGACTCCCAGAAGTAGAAACAACGTGCCGCAGCACCATTAAGTGCATCAGCATCGGCAACAACGGCCACTGCAACTGCAACTGCAACTGCTAGTGCGACTCGGCGGTGTGTTATGTTTTTGGCACTTGGCAGCAACGCTGTTGCCACATTGCCACATCGTCGCCACATTTTCCCAGAGACGCGACATGACCCAATAACAGGGATTAGGCAGCTGCCTCGTCGTATGTTTGTGTTGGTGCCCCAACGTTTGCCATTCGTTCAATCATTCAATCAAACACTTGGCCAGCCTCAGCCTCCGTCTCGGTCTCAGTCTCAGCCTCAGTCGCAGTCTCAGCCTCTTGGTCCAGTCAATCAGAGCCAACATTGTCGGCAATTAGTCCAATTTTTGTTGCCAGTGCAGCCAGTGTTGGTGCTTGTGCTAAAATTAAATATTGCGAAAATTCTGCTCAACGTCTTGGACATGGGACACGGAGAGCATGGGGCATGTGTCGGAGAGACTCAACTGCTGAAAAATATGCGAAAAATCTTTAATTTTCCGAGACTACAAAGCGGGTACAATTATTCGGCTGCCACTGCCGCAAGGCGTATGATGTCGTTTATGCGATCGCTGCTAATGATCGGGTTTCGGCAAAGCCATTCATTTGGCCAATTGCTGAATGGGCCAGCTAAACTATCGATGATTGTCTTCCCCTAAGCAGGCAACCGATGGCAATTGACATTTCTGCTGCCGCTGTCTCGTTTCTGATTTCGACTCCGACTCCGGCATCTCTTGCACAATGCTGCTGGGGACTCGCAGCTGGACAGTGGAGCGGACTCAAGGAAAGCCGGCGAGAACTTCCATTGGATAGCGCCGGAGTTCTCCCCACCGCCGTCACTCAGATCGCACTCTAGTTTTCCCTATATGGCCTGGCTATGTATATCTGGTTTGAGTTTATAATTTAATCGAATCTTTCCGACCGATGTGAATGTCACTACTAGAGGTCACCGGTGCCAGTGGGCTAGTGCTACGGCTTAGATCAGTAGCTGCTAGCCATGTCCCGAAAGTGGTTCAATGTCCATTGGCCGAACCGAATGACCAGTCGACTGACTGATTGACTCTCCGACGGACCCATGAATGAATGCATTCAATCGTTTCGCGGGGTACTACTCGCGGGTCCACCTCAAATTACTTTGCGGCCTGTAATTTGCTGCTAATGCGGCTGCTCTTATGGCAAATATCATTTCTTATTGTCTCGCTTGACAAAGCGAAAATAACTTCGGTGGTGCCTGGCTCTTTACGACTTACACATTTTTTGTTTTGTTTTTTGGTTGTTGTGCCGCTGACCTTGACTTTCATGAGCATGTTCATCGGGTGGAAACGGGTCAGGTTTTGTAATGTAGCGGGGGAATCCGAGAGCAATTTCAATTAATTATATCATACTAAATTTAAGACTTTCAAGTTCAAATATTGTGATAAAGTGTTGAGGTTGCGGGTATACGGTTTTAACTCTGCGATTTTCCCCACTTTGCCTTAGCAGTTTGATTTAATCAGCAAGTACATGGCCATCAAATCATTAAATACATTCTGTCTGCCTGCTGTCAAAGTTCATGCAACCTTTCGGAGTTACGATAAAGTATTTCTAGCAAATAAATGTCATTCAAACGTAGGAAATCCTTGCAGTTTTAGGACCTTACCCTACCCTTCTTTAAAAAAAAAAAAAAAAACAAATGTAATTTCCCAAAATTCTAACTTATCTGAAAATACCCTCTGAAAAAATGGGTACACAACCTAAAGACTGTAACATTAACCCAGAATTTCAAGAGCTGTTAACTAAACTACTTATCGAAGACATATATGTTTCATTAGGAAATTCGTTAATTACTTTTCCTGTCTCTTCTAATTTACAACTTTTAGATTTATTTAAATTTTAACCAAAATTTATGCGCATTTGTAATGTATATTTTTTGTAAACAAAAAGTAACCAAAGCGCCAAACTGGTTACTTGTCGGAAATCGCTTAAGTTTTTCACTTGATATGTCAAAATGCCAAAACTGTGCACAGAAAACGTGGCTGGCCTGCGATGTCGAAGTGGAGCCAATGGCCGGGCATTAGGTATACGCCCTGTTGGCCGCCCGAATTGGCCCGGCCAGCAAATCATTTAAGCGCCATGGGCGTGGGGTCCACGCGGCCTAAACTGAGGCGACCACGACAACAAATGGTCAACGGCTTCCTTCAAAGATCGCGACTTGGATCTGAGTCAGATGGCCGGGTTTTATTTTGCTTTTATTTTCCTGGCCGACTGTTTTTCTCTTCTCGTTTAGAAACATTGCGGATGCAGTCGCTCCAAGTAGGCAAGAAGTCGGTCCGGTTTTTGTCTTGGCCATAAAAAGAGTTCGAGTTGATGTCGACTTGGATGGCGATGCAGTGCGTTGCACAATGCACTTTCAGTTTCAGCTTCAGGCTCGTATTTCTATTCCAATTCCAAGCCCAATTCCGATTCGTTTGCGAGCTACATGCGACCTGAGTTATTATTGTATTTGTTGTTCTAAGTCCGCCTTTTCGAACCTAATTAGCATTGGATTCGCGATCACTTTTGATTGTGTCTCGTTTATCCGCCAGATCCGTGCGCATAAATCAATAATCCACTGAACCCAATCGCCAGACAATTCACTCGAGGCAACCCAGACTCGTAGCAGCGATCTTGAGCTGATTACTTTTTGAATTGCCACAAAATGTGGTTATGTTTGTAGTTCTGTTTAAGTCTTATTTTAATATTTTATACTTATTTTATATAGATTATTAGATGGAGGCTGTAAAAAGTTTTATTTGCAGATTAAGTTGGCCAACGTATTATAATTATCTCCTGTGGCTAACTATACTAACGAACTCAAAACTGAATAATAATTGAAACCTTAAATTTCACAAAAGGCAAGCAGGAGTAACATTTATTAATAACTTGATTGGTTTCTTTATTATTTAAATTTATTAATTGTCAGTTTCTAATATAATAAGTCACTTGAAATACCCTCCAACTTGTCTGCTTTTTAAATCATACAAGAAAACTCTTTACGAGCTTACATTGTAGCCTCATTCCAGCATTTACTTGCTTTGGCGGAAAGTGTCTTCTTGTTTTGAAAGAAGTATTAGTGCAAAATGTTAGTCATCTCGTGTATGGTGGAAATTCCCAGACCATTTCCCAACAGCCACTGCAACTCGGTCTCTGCATATAAGCACGCTTACAATTGTGTGAATTATCGCATGCCATTCAGCTGAGTGAGTGAGGATTGCCAGCCAACCTGTGGCCCTAATAAGCCGTAATTATATTCGGTTAAGCTGGAACCCGCCAAGAAGTTCGGCAGCAAGTGGACTGGGCAAACTCTAGAAACGGACCGCAACAGCGTGCACCAAAGTCACAACATCAACAAACATTAACACACTGCAAACAATTGGCCATAAATCAGCATGCAGCAAATGTGCAGGGTCGGTGAAACGACGGGGGCTGTGCAGTTATTGTTGTCGTTATAATCAATGAATTACGTCGCATCGGTTGACCACAATTTATGGCGACTTGGAACATGAGAATCCGCACAGCAGAGTCCAAGAAGCAAATAAAAATTCAAACCGAAACCGAAGCCCAAATGCAGTTGGCGACGAGGAAGGTTGGTTTGGATTTTGCAACTTGTAACCGCATACAACAAAAGCATCCACGAATCGCCGTACGGCAATCAGCCTTGCCTCCTTAGCTCTCTCTTACATTGTCAGAAATTTGTATGAGATACGACAACGAGCATAAGGGCTTTCGATAGAGCTAGAACAATATATTTGCCTGTTACAGGGAGATACTTAATAAAACATTTAAAAGATAAAAATATCAGTAAACAAAAATTGTTACTAATTAAAAAAGCCAATGAGGTACAAAAGTATGATGTTTCTTAAATTTTAAACGGGAACATAGTTTGCCAAACTTATAAACTTCAACTTATATAGTTCAATACAATTTCTCTGGCTACTATTGAGTGTTATCAAAACTTTTGGCATTATTAGAAATTTTCATTGATGAATTTTTTTTCCTGTGCATTGATTGTTTCCCGCCTGGCAAAATTGTAACGTTTGCAGCTCTGGGCAAACAGCTGCAGCGACCCAGTCCAGGCAGACTTGGCTCAGTTCCATCTGGACTAACATAGAAAACGACACATTTTCTGCAAAAAGTACAAGTTGTCGGCCAGAGGCCTAAAGTCCAGGGGAGCTGCCTTAATTGGGAATTCCGATTTAACGGAGAGGAAGAAACAGAAAGGAGTGTTTTGTTTTTGGGAAGTGTCAAAATAGTGCCTTTTCCTCGGCTAAGACTTTTTCACAATCTAAAGAATCCTATAAATTAATTTAAATTTGTGGTGCTACTAAATATTTATATTTCAACAATTTAAACAAGTTTCTTTGAAATTACTAAATTTAACAGAGCTCCGTTATAATATGAAAACATATGTAAACCTAGCAATAAGGTCCTTTTATAAACCTGCTGGAGATATTACAATTACAGTTTCAACTATAAATTGAACTGATAGCTTCATAATACACTTATTTTAAACTAAAATCTAACCACATCTGTGGACTATGTCTTTAAGCTTTAAGAGAAACTGTTTGGCCACAATTAGAGGGATATTTTTACATTACATTCCCCTTATCAGCTTTCTCTATTGTACAAAATTTAATTACTTATTACCATATTCCTGATTAGGAAAGTCTTCTTTACAGTAATGAATAAATTAGTCTACAAATATGCTAGCTGGTCTTATTAAGCAGCCCAGAAGTATAACAAGCTCATGAATATGGATCGAACGAAACCATCTTAAATTGCTTCAAAAATAGAGACAGTTTTTAATGCTTTCAATAGTTGTTTGATAAGTCAATAAGGAACAAAGATTTAAACTAAGGCGGCGGAGTACTACTGATGTTCCTCTGCACAAACAAAACAAAGTGCTTTTATACAGGCTTTTTATTTGTTGAAATTCAAATGCTGACAAAATGTTTTCGAATTTGGAAAGCTGCTTTTTATATCGATTTTCGATCGCTAAATGTTTGCTTTAGTTGGAATTGCTTTTGTAGAATCTGGAAAAGACAATAGAAAATGCAAATATCTTTCCCGTCTGGCGGAGCAAGACAATAAGATTAGTCAATCACCACGGCTCACGCATATCATTTGGGCTGTCAGATGGCGCGTCCAATATCCAACTGGTTTCATTTTGCGCATTAACAAATAATTATGCTGGCAATTGCCAAATCACGGACTCGGCCCGCTGATATATAATCTGATTTTGTGCGAATGCAGCGGCAACTGCTCCGCCACTGCAGCGCCGACCCATAAAGGCCTTTCACTTTTGCGGCAGAGTGCAGATCTCACGCATGGCACCCGATCCCACTCCCGGGCGAAGTCCCCGTCCCAGTCACAGATCCATTTGCAATCCCAGTCGGATCGCAGTCACCCGCGAATTGGGTCCGTACTTGCAACATTGTCAATAATCAATAGCACTGGCCTGCATGGTTTTTTACAAATAAAATGGAATATTAATTAAAAATATATATTTTTTAACGAGGAGAAACCAGCAATAGATTTAAAGAAAACACTATTAAATGGAAGTTGAATTGAAAATAAAAACAATTTTTGTAGGGCTGTGCAACATATTGCAAAGACGAAACCCGAGCCCTGGACCCACATCGTATTGATCTGCAGTTGCATCAGTTTTCACTGCTCCAAGCCGCTGCATCTTTTCCGCTTGGATTGAGACATCAAAGTAACCGAGGCACTCCAACACTTCCAACTTCCGTTTTCTGCTCAATTTTGCAGGAAGATCACAGGCGTAATCTGAGACAGTTGGCGGTGCAAGACCGGAAAGCCCTATATATTATTTATCCATGATAAACATGAAAAGCTATCTCTAGTTATCAATCACGTTTCAAGTTATCGATTAAAAGGGATTATGCAAGCGAAATCAGTGTTAGCACAGATATAGGATAAGCCGAATAGATCTCTGATTATGATATGATTTACTTGTTGAAATAAGTAACATATTCCTCATACTTTTATGGATTAGATGGATATTTAATCCATAAATTTATATTTTCTAGATTTAAGATAATTTAATAAAAAATCACAGATAAACCAGAATTGTAAAACGATTTTAAATAATAAATACTAATAAAAGTAATTAACGAAATGAGCAATATTATTATATAACTCTACGATTTGCACACAATTTTCCCAGATTATTATATACAAGTTTAATATTAACAAAATCAAAGTCGCCAGGGTAAATAATAAAACAACGTGTGATTCGTGTTTGTTTAGAAATTAGAGAACCCTTTGTTTTCAGTAAACATTTTAAAGAATTTATTATATTTGCAAGCCGTGGAGATTTCGATTTCGTTAAAACAACAACAACAAGTGTGGCCTAATAAAATGATTATCATTATCAGCAATACCAAACAAAATACTCTTTTTATTGTTCTTTATCAATTTTTATACCCTTGCAGGGTATTATAATTTCAGTCAGAAGTTTGCAACGCAGTGAAGGAGACGTTTCCGACCCTATAAAGTATATATATTCTTGATCAGCATCAACAGCCGAGTCGATCTAGCCATGTCCGTCTGTCCGTCTGTCCGTCTGTCCGTCTGTCCACCTGTCCGTTTCTACGCAAACTAGTCCCTCAGTTTAAAAGCTATCTGAATGAAACTTTGCATATAGTCTTCTATATACTCTCACTGCTATATATGTCGGAACGGGCCGGATCGGACGACTATATCATATAGCTGCCATACAAATGTCCGATAAATTTTTAGAAAAAAAATTATTACTTTGCTGTTTTTCAATATTTTTGCACCATTTTTGAGATATGGCCCTTTTATATTATTTCTGAATTTTGGTAAAAATTTTATAAAAATCGGACGACTATATGATATAGCTGCCATAGGAACGATCGGGAAATTAATAGGAAAAAAATTATAGCTTCGTTGTTTTTCAACGTATTTGTATCTACTCTGAGATATAGGCTTTTTTTATTGTTCTAGAATTTTGGTATAAATTTCATAAAAATCGGACAACTATATCATATAGCTGCCATATAAACCGATCGGTAGATGTATACAAAATGTAAAGCTGGGAATGCAAAACTGTAACTGTCAAACTGTAAACATAATAAGTATAGGTAAAATGTAATGAAATAATATCTGCAAGGGTATACAAACTTCGGCGTGCCGAAGTTAGCTTCCTTTCTTGTTTTTAGATTAAATTGAAATCTTGATTTATAAATATGACATTAATAAGCTATCTCTGTTTGCTTAATGGAATCAACAATAAAGTCTATAAAATTTCTATAATGGATACCATTTTATTGATTTTAAGAATCAGGTTCTATGGTCTTCTGAAACTTTTAAAACAAACAGAACCACAATTTTGATAGACATATGACCTTTCACTACGAGATATTTTGGGAACAATAATAAAGTGTGGAGAGTCTCAAAGATTGTTTACCGAAATCCGAACATAAATAATCGCTGATCATAGGAAGTTCTTCGGGATTTTCCCAAGATAAATATCGTTTCAAGATTTTGTTAATTTATTTAATTGTGCATTTTTAACGAGTCCAAATTTGCTCCAGTATTTTATGATCCAACTCCGGCCCCTAGAGTAGCCAAGGAAGGTAGTGGTATTGGTGGAGCGCCTCTGTGGTGGTGAGCGCTTCCGCTTGCCACTTTTCGAGTGGCTTGCACACACCAGCAAAGCGCACCAACACAGGCACAGAGCCCGGCCTGGCCGGGAGCTTTGGAGAGAGCGTAGTGGCCCGGTGAGAAAAGCTTTCGACCAGCGCTCGACAACTTGGCTCAAACATGGCTCGGCGGCGTTTTCAGTTTCGTTTTGACACAAAAACTCTTTGGGGGTATAAAAGCCCGCCACTGACCACAGACAGCATCCAGTCAAAGGTTTGGAATCGCTAGTGATTCTACAATCCTTCCACAGTCTATTTTGCCTGCTACTGAGTTGCTTGTAAGCCCAAGTTTATTTCGTTTGTTTTAAGAAATGCGAGCAATGCCCAAAGTTATTTACAAACTGAAGTGATTTCAAACAGTGTAGTGTGTCCCGACGTGTGCCTTTAATTTGTGCATCGAGCAATTCCAAAAGCCAGATAAATTGTTTTTAAAAAAATATTTAAATATTCTATAATAACTGAATCATGTTTTCTGTTTATTTGCAGCCTTGGCAAGTCCCAATCGACTCCGCAATGAAAGTATTCGTAAGTACAATAGACATACTTGGTGCAATAAATTAAAAGAAAAATCCATCCATTAGAATGTGAGACATAAACATAGGTGAATAAGTTAGCCAAGGTGAAAGGGAGAATCACAGAATTGCTATTGAGTCTGACCAATTAGGGGGCAACTCCCACATATAGAACAATACCATCTGTAACTCATTTCCATTATAACAAAAGCATACAATTAATGGTTAATACCACACTAGTTGCCTGGGATTTTCACAAGCTTCTTTGCAATGCAAATATACAATATTGTCGGTCCGCCTCCAGTTACTTCCTAAAACATGACGAACCGTTAAATTGACCACCGCAAATGACAAACTTCAACTTGAATAACATGGCTAATAAGAGCCTGCTAACTGATCGATCATAATTGGAGTGCCGGCCACGTCTAATAGCAGGCCGTAATCGCCTCGGTTCATTTGCTCAATTAAAGCCAGCACTCGCACTCGCAACTCCAATGCACCGAAGAGACGCGGACTGCGCATGCGCAACGTAACGCAGCTCCAGGGCGGTTGGGAGGTGGGCGGGACTCTGGGTCGCATCGCTTATGCGCGGCACGCACGAATTTCACCTGGCCATTTGAATCGCAAGGGAGGCCGATGAGACAACAGTCGCCAATTTGGGCGTCACTTTCTAATGCGATTGAGTAATCGATAATCTATGCAAAAGGGGCACACAGGTGTGATTTATCGTTAGGTAATCCCAGGTAAGCAGAATTGGTTCACAGCTACGGGGATAAAGAACAGCATTATAGTAATTTCTTCTTTGGCTGAAATCAATTTTAGTCTTAAAGGAGACATTGAAATTATAAGCATCATTGAAATATTTCAGGACAAAGTAGAATCTCAGGATTGAATGATTTATGCAACTAATATTGACAATTTGATAGATATAAATATATAATTTTTCCTCTTTTCACTTTCCCAGATACATACATAGAAATCACAGCTAAAAAACTACTAAAAACTTAATCAAATCTTTAGTTAAAACTAGTTTATGTCATAAGATAGATAAACAAGCTTAGCTGCTTAAGGAAAACCTAAATAAACCCAAAATCCTTTGATTTTACTACTAAAACAGGATAAAGAATCCTTTGCTTATACATACTCCCCTCCCCGATCCTTTCAGATCTGCTTAGCCGCTCTGCTGGTGGCCTCCGCCTGCGCCAGCAAAACCGAGGGTGAGAAGGTGCCCCTGGAGAAGAAGCTGGACAAGCGCGGCCTGCTCGACCTGGGCTACGGCTACGGTCACGCCGGCCTGGATGTTGGCTACCTGGGACACGGATCTATTGCCGGACACGGCTACGGCCTGACCGGTCACTCCGCCCCCGGCCCCATCGCCGTGGGCCACAGTGGTCCGGCCATCGCCATCGGACACACCGCTCCCGCCGTGGCCGTCCACCATGCCCCCGCCCCGTATGTGATCAGCAAGCAGGCCGATGTGCACAAGACCATCACCATCACCAAGGGCATCCCCGTGCCCGTGCATGTGGACCGCCCCTATCCCGTGGTCCATGAGAAGCGCGTGCCCGTGGAAGTCAAGGTGCCCGTGCCCCAGCCCTACGAGGTGATCCGCAAGGTGCCCGTGACCGTCAAGGAGTACGTGAAGGTGCCCGTGCCCGTGCCCCAGCCCTACGAGGTGATCCGCCACGAGAAGGTGCCCATCCACGTGCCTGTCGACCGCCCCGTGCCCGTTGAGGTGCCCAAGCCATACCCCGTGCCGGTGGCCAAGCCCTACCCCGTCTACGTGGAGAAGGCCGTTAAGGTGCCCGTGCCCGTCCAGGTGGACCGCCCCTACCCCGTCTACGTGAAGGTGCCCGTGGTGTCGCACTCCGTGGTGAAGCACGCCCCCACCGTGGCCGTCAGCAGCTACCCGGTGAGCAGCTACGGACACGACGCCTCCGTCTACGCCGACCACCACGGCTACCACAAGTAAGCGGACGGCCCTTCCATTGGAGCGAGCGGACTTTCTGGAAATGAGCCGAGGGAAATCTAGCAACATTTTCAACTATCCACTCCCCCTGTCAGTCTCCCCTCCAATCCTACCGTCCCGAGCAGACACCAACCCTGGAAGTTCCACTTCCGCCCTGCCACTCTCTGTAGCTGTTAAGACCCCAAGATGAAGCAAGCAACGCCTTTTGTAAATTATTTCCGATCCAGCCCCCCAATGGAAGCCATTGTGCGGCACGAGATCTTGAGTTTAGGGTAAACACCAGCTAACTGTTTGTAGATTTCGCCGTCTATGGACAGCTTAGCCGGCTCCGTTTACCAGTGAGGGCTTTCCGCGCACAATGAATTGAATGGATAACGACAGAATATCTATGTGGAAATCTATTAAGGACAAAATAAATTAAAATTTATAAAATTAAATCCGAATGGCTTTGTCACTGGTTGGCTGCTGGAAGTACTATACAATCGGGTTACTTGCTGTACAATGTCTTGTATATATATTTTGTAAATAAAGAGTTTTATCATTATTAACGAACTGTGTTTGCTGTTGGTTATAATGTTGGATATTTGGCAAGGTATTAAAAATATTGTTATAAAAGAATGCTTCATATATGTGAGAGCCCTGACTTTGTCATAAATAAATCAAAATCAAAACTGATTTACACTTTTGATTATACATTTATCGATTATTATTAATGACTTGCTTCTGCAAAAAATCATAAGGCAATTTATTGTCAAGGCTGTGAACAATTCAATTTAATGTTTCTCTATCAGCTTTATCTTATTAAAGACTTCTTGGACATCTTGCTTGTGATGTGTCCTTGCAGACAGCTTCCTGGTCTTAACAGCTGAAGCTCCTTTCTCCATGCCAGTCACTTGGGCTGACATGACCCGAATTCGCACAGCCTCAAGTAGGAAGGAAAAGTCGTCTTATGGGCTAATCAATTACAGGTGAAGTGATGATGATGATGAAGGGATGCAGATGAGCTACGATCAGAGTCTGAAAAGTCACGCGCAAGGTCGACTGGAGACAGATCCATTCGCAGACTGACGTCAGCGGAGTTCATTTAAAAGTCGGTCGTAAATTTCAGTTACATTTAGCAGCTTGCGTAGGACTGGCAGAGCAGACACTTGGCATTTTCAGCCTTTTACGAGAAGTGAACGAACTTGGCGGGTTTTTCCTCATCAGAAGCCCAAATATCAACTTTCAAACTGCAAAAAGTTCTTAACGTGTTTGCATTTGATGAATTGAATCAATTAAGTTTAGGGGTATTTAGCATTTGTTTACGTCGATTAAAAAATAAACATAAATCCGGTTTGTGCCATCTTGCGTATTAGCCAAACGAGGGCAATTAAAACAGTTTTTCTAAGCGTGCTCACCATATATTAGAGATCAGCGCGTTTATTTTCGGGATGCGGTCCCCCGAAGAGGGGATTTTAATGGGGGCCAAAGCCCTCTTGAGGCCCGGCCCCAAGGACGTTGCTCGCGACAAAGACGGAACTGAAACAACTTTCTAATAAAAAGTCACCCGTTCTTGTTAATTTCTGACTTAATTTTCTTCGGCATCGATTTAGAAACAAAAGAGAGCCGATCCGCCTTGGGACAGAACTGGTTCTCTGGATCCAGCCCAAGAAGTGAACCCCGCCGCGAAGGTCGCCGGCTTTGCGGACCTCGTGTGCCCACATCCATGGGGGAGTGGCCGAGGTACCAGCAGTTGCATGCACTCGTTATTCCATATCTCAGCAGTAATTTGCTGCGAATTGCACTTCTATTTGCAACGTGCTCTTGACTCTCGTAGGTGTTAGTCCGCTCCGATTCTCGCGCTGGAATACCTACATTAATTTTGATCTTGACTTGAATTGTCTTTCGGGTTACGCAACTGCCAGCCATTACAAAGCGGATCTCTCCGTCAAGCTTAATTGCTGTCAAGCTTAGGGTCTAATTACGCCAAATTAGTTTGCACAAGAATGTTCAGACTAGATCAAGATTTCCCTAGCTGCATAGTAATTAAAATATATATTCTTTAATGCTTAATAATTGCATAGAAGCTAAATGTAAATCTAAAGTTAAGGAATGTTATAGAACTCATACCAAATAATATATGAAATGTTTTCTCTTAAAGTTGGAATTATTTAGAAGTAACTTTTATTTTTACATTTAAAATCACAAATAAGTTAAGTTACAGACACAAAAACGTATTATGAGTTGCCATATTCGTTACAAGTTTAATTTGGAAAAAAGCCTTTGACTAAGTTAGTCTTAGCAACTTGGGATAATAAGTATTAAGTCTTATTTTTATTATAAAAATAAAAACATTATTCCTGTTGATAATATAGTATGATTTCTTATTATTTAATTATTAAGGAAACAAAACGATTGTCAAACCTAAGCCTAATTATTCACCATGTAAAGCTCTGATCTTATGAGCCCTTTAGTAAAGATTTCTTTTTAAACAACATGCAAGTAATATGAAATATCAAAATTAATAATATTTATGAATACAAAAAAATGAATATTCATAACCAGCATCCTCTACTCCGGCGGGCTCTTAACTGGAGCACTGATAACCCATAAATCATTGGCACAGAAACCGCCCAAAATCGAAAGAGAGATCCCACTCAGGCCGCAATCGATTGGCGATCGCGATCTGGGAGATCTGGCTGCGATTACGCAATAATAACCAATCCGGCCAAAAGAGAGACAAGGCAACAAATTGCGGCAACCAACGGCGGCCAATTAAAACAATATTTCTGGCGCCAAGAGTGCGGGAGAGGTGGGTGGCGTACGCATATCTGCAGAGACTTAATTAATTGCCACAAAATGATGGAGACACAAGCGCAACGGCGAACGACAAAAGATGGAAAAACTGAAAACGAATTTTCGCAATTCTCCGCTTTTTCGCTTTTTGCCAGCGTCTGAGAAAAGGCCACAGAAAGACGTTCAGCATGTTCCATGTTGCCAAATGCGAAACTTTTGCTCTAATGAACGACAATATAGCCAGTGGCTTTTTGAAGGTCACCGCCAACTTGTCCATCGCCAAAAGCCAGGCCGAATGCGTCTGCGACGTCAAACGGCTGTCGACCAATTGCGACATGAATTGGTTTAGCTTTAGTATTTGATTTTTCCTTTTGCCAAAATGCATGTCTGTTTGCCAGCCACGGCTGAAATCGACAAACGAAAAAAAATCGCGACAAAAAACTTGCACCAGTTTCTCGATCACAAAACTGAAAACCCAAATCCGAAACTGAAAACCAAAAACCAAAAACCGAAACTGAAACCGAAATCGCAATCGTAATCGAAGTCGCCGCTGCGCAAGTCAAGTGAAGCGAGCGTCTTTGGCAATCTGGAAATCCCAGTGACTCCTACCTGATCCAACCCCGTCCACCGCCATAGTCCCTCCCACATGATCTCCACACATGAGTCTTCTGTCTCGGCCTGCCCTGCAATACGGCTTGCTGGTTCACTTAGCCAGCCAAGACGGCGATTGTAATGCTCGTACTTGCGGCAGCCACAATGCATTTCCAGTCATTGGCATGCCGCATGATCGCATTTCAGCTAAATGCTAAGTCTGTTGACCCCACAGCGATCCAACTCAACGATCCAATTCATCATCATTGGAGAGTGCAAGCCTCGTTGGGAATTTCCTTTTTGGAAAAATTCCGAATAGACAAACAATGTTTCGTACTTCAAGTGGTACTTTATTGCTGAAAATATTTAAACTTTGGAATAATAAAACTGGCTCTAATGCATTCAGTGGTGTTATTGTTTCGTGATGATCAATACACACTTCAGCCTAAATATCTTTCATTTTATATATATTATTTAGCAAGTAATATGAAATCTCGATATGAATAACTACATTTTTGAATATTCATATCCAGCATCCTCTACTCCTTTCTTAATCTTGATTTAGTTTACGATCGACCCACCTGGCTTCTGGTCAACTACTGATAATCTGTACAAACTCATCTTCGCCCCACCTGACAGTGCATTCAAATGGCAAACAATTAGGCTTATAAATGCTACCGCACCACATTCAATCGGATTATGCAACTACACACCCATTATGGCCATAAATCGTGGTCTGGTCTGGCCTAGTCTTGGCCACGGGTGTGTTTCGCACGAAAGCGAGGCGAATCCTTTCACCTGATTCGGGGGAGCGTAACAAAAGACTCAGGCAACGAACCCGAATCCAGCGCGATTCATTCCCATTTACTTGCAATTTCCGTATTGAAAGTGTTTCTCTGGGCCTGCCGACACTCCTTCAAGTTCTTTATCTGTGAAGACAACTGTGTCAAGCCTCTGAGGCGCATTCAACCGTCCGACAGTAGCAAATTGAATAGGAAATCTCTTGGAAAACATCTTTCCCAAAATCAAACCGCAGCGGCGGCAGATTCCCAAATCTGGACAAGCTACTAGGCCACTGCAGGAGTCCAGCCAACTACTGCTGCAGTTGGTGTGCTGCATGGCGGCGAGTTGCTGCAGCTGCTCGGGCAGGCGAGTTGCATAATTTTTGTTTTTGCATTCGACGTCTCGGAGCGGTGCTAGCGTGATCGTTGCTGCTGCTGCCGAGCGGCTTTTGGAGTCACCCAGTTAGTGTGTCACTGTGGCATTTGCAGAAAGCTGCAAGCGGCAAGCTGCAAGCTGAGCACAGCAAACAGTCTGCCGCTGACACTGCCTTTCTGCCCACTCATTGTCTTCTGTGGGATGGCTGCTGTTGATATTAGTAATTATGCATTTCACAGAGTCGAGTCGAGTCATGACATGTTGTTGGAGTTAAATCATTTGCCTAATTTTTCATTGAACCTTGTGGGCGTGGCAGGCGGCTATTCGGGTAAATGTCAATCGAGCAATTGAAGCCGTCCGTTATTATAGGTTAGTTAGGCAAGGTGAATTAGGCAAAACGACAACTAAAACATAAAGCTGAGCGAGATGGTTGTTTATGATAAATTCGTTAATATTTTCCATTTATTTTTGAAGTAATGCCAGATCTAATCCACTCAATGTATACGGTTTTAAAAGTTCCTTGTTTGTTGGTCCTTGTTGCTGTTTAGAATCAAACCTTTTGGCTTTCCAGAGACCCTATGGTTAAAAGTTAATGGCTTAAGAGACTTTCAGCCGGTTCCTATTTACAGTTTAGAATAGATATTTGTTCGACCTTTGGAATTAATATGATTATCTAGGTAGATGAGGTTGCTTGTTTCATTGCCATAATAATTGTCTATTTTATGCAAGAACCAGTTATTCCTTTTTACTCTCATTTACTTTTTTTTAATATTCTTTATATCCAACATGTGTATAAACTTGTAATTGCTATTGGAATTATAAGAATTATTTAGAAACAGCTATAATTTTTCAATTTAGCAGATTAAACTTGGAACATTTTATTTTTAGTTTATTTGTTTTTTAAACTTTCAGG